AGTAGAATTCCAGTGAAAGACCCAATCTAATGGTGGATAGAACCCAGGTGTCAGAAGTAATACTCTCCCATTGGTCAGCAAACCACACTAAATGACCACCAATGGAAACGGAGTGAGCACTAGCGTTGGCGACGGTACGGGCGACTTCCTCCTCCTCAAAAGGGCTGTTTAGAAGAAAACTGCTGCCTGCCCTTGCCTGAGCGATTAGGAGGAGGTTCTTGACATTGATAAGCAGTTTTTGATGGCCATTGGAAACTGGAAGATGACTCTCCTCTGAACTGAAGGCGTTTGAAATAAGGAGTGGCCTGATGTTCCACCCTTTTCAGGACTGAAGGAAGAATCTTTTGTCCTTAGTTTCAACCAAAAGGGGCTCAAGGACCTCACCAAAGAGCTTCTCACCTTGCACTGGAGCAGACAGCAACTTCCATTTACATCTGCCATCAGCTTGCCAGTTGCATAGCCAGCACATGCGCCTGGCTGCCACCGAGGAAGCAATGACCTTCATGGCAAATCTGGCGCTATGCAGGGTGGCATCTTCTGTAAATTCAGTGGCTGCCATGATCTTGTTGATGTCCTGGTGAGTACGGACATCTGATGAGGGAATCCTATGCCCCAGCTGCTTCAGCCAGTTGAGCAAGGTTCTCGTAAAGAAAGAAGCTGCTGTAGAAGCATTGACAGCCCGGCAGCGGCCAAATGGGATCGCTATAGCGACTGTTCCACTCACTTTTCTTCTGCCTTGAGGACTTCCTCTGGGTCTGAAGAAACAAATGAGGAGGAGGCCAAAGCAGCGACCGGAGCATCAACTGTGGGGACCTGAAGGGTCTTGGTAAGTTCCGGCCCCACGTTGAAGAATCTGTGATCAGAGGCCAGAGGATTGGGCCCTGTGGCAGGAGCTTCAAGCTGCTTCTTGATTACCTTCAGGAACAGCTTTGGTGATGGAACTACTTCCTTCCTGACTTCAGGGTCATCGAACAGAACATCTGACTCCTCAGGAGGAAGAGTGATCATGGCCTCATCCATCTGCGTTTTTCAAATTGGCAGTGTTTCTAGCCTTGAACAACAAGGGACTAAACAAAGCATATTTAAAACAACCAGTAAACACCGGAACTTCCTGTGAAGGGTCTTCATCCGCTGACATATCACATTCCGGCCGATCAAGTTCCCCCACCAATGAAGGAGCCACTGAGGCAGCAGGAGTGAAGCCTTCAGCCAACCAGAAACTGGCTCCTGGAGAAAGGAGCCTTGTTCTGACAAGAGAGCCTCACGAACCTGGGATCTTCTCTTTGACAAGTCAGAGGCAGCCGAAGAATGTCGAGTCACTCTCTGCAAACCTGAGATGCCCTTCCTGATTGCCTTGTCTATCAGGAGTTGTAGATTCATTGGGACATCCAAATCAGAAGGGTCAGTAGGTCTGGTTGCAGATGCAACAGAAGGGAAAGGGGGTTCCACCCTGTCTACTGCGCCCACGTTCCTGCCAAGGTGCCGCATCTCCCTGAAGATCCTCAGCTTGACTGTCGCCTTCAGAAGGAATTGGAGATGCACCTCTCCTGGACACATCAGGGGACCAAATTTGAAAACCAGGTCTGGAAGAAGGTCCAGGCTCCTTCAAATCCACTTCACTGAATGCAGCCGGAGGGGCGTGCAGACGTTACGTGAGAAGAGGCCTGATGCACCTGGGCTATTTGTTTCTTGATGGCTTGATGGCACCTGGAAGCATCCTTCTCCTCCGCCCTTGAGGCCTTCTTTACAGGCTACTTCTCTTTGGTAGAAGCAGCAGGAGCCACCTTTTGAGGCTTGGCCGCTTTAGAAGCTCTGGTTTCCCTTGGGACTTCAGCCATCATGGAGCAGCAAGGCCAAATCTGGATGGGAAGTCCTGTGCTAGGAAGAGAGCACATGAAGGGATTTATGAAATTATCTTCAGGGGAAATCTTCTCTATCCCCACACCAACCACCACTTTCTTCTGCCCAAAAGCACTTCAGTAGAAAGATATTTCTTCCTACTGGGACTCCAACCCTCCTGGGTCTATTAGGACAATATTGATAGACCAGGCCCTGCTGGGAGCCCAAGGGGAAACCAATCCCCCACTGGGAAAATTGAAAGTTATAGCGACTACCCTTCGATGTTGTCCACAGCTCCAGAGGCAACTGGTGCTGACCAAAGGCACAGAAGTGGTGGGAAGAAGTATCTTCGAAATGGCCATCTAAGTCTTCAAAATGGCCGACAGTAGATATCTAAAATGGCCACCGGCGACGAGGAGTCTTCAAAATGGCCTCCTTCTTCTTCCCCAGGGGGAGCTAATAAGTCTCCCTGGCTTTCATTGCTCTGCCCAGGCAGAGAACAAGACACAGCCAAGACTTTCAGAGAAGGCAGCTGCTGATCACTACAGCTGCAACTTCACTGCTGGGTTGAACAAGCCCCGCGGCTCTGTCTCTAGTGTGGCTAATGCCCACGCTCTTCCAAAATAGCCATCCAGCCACGAAAACTGCCTCCTCTCACTGCGGAGCCCGAAAAAGAGCCCTGCAGCTTCTTCGCTATGGCGGAAGCCACCGCCCAAGCCCCTTTGGCTGTCCTGCCGATCTGATCTTTCTCTTCGCCCCGAAGGGCAAGAAAACGGCCACTGTGGCCCGTCGGCTGCTCCAGATCCCCAGAGCAGTCCTCAGATGTTTGGCACCCCCGATCGTCAGCAGTGGTAGCAGGGCACCAAATTAAAAAAGAAATTTGCAAGAGGCGGCTTTTTAAAGTAAAAAAGAAAAGAACGAACAATGTTTTAGAAAGTCTGCCTTTGGAAGAAAACTTTCCAAAGGCAGGAGAGGCAACCCACAAATCCTTGTCTGCTAAGGACTGAGCATAAGCTGGGGAGGAGTCACCCAGAGTGGGTGGAGCTAGGCTAATAAGCCTTTTGCACAGACTCAGTCCTAAGCAAATAAGGAAGAGTACTACCCATCCTGGCCTGTCACTGCCTGACAAGGGAAAAATAGACCAACTATAAGTATCGTTCACTTCCACAAATCACTCCCCTATACATTGTGGCATTTGTTGAGTGCACTATGACAGTGTTCATCAAAATTTCATCACTCAAGCAGCACATTTACACAAGCCCACATGTGTAAATAATAATTATTAGATGAAGTATAGTTGTGATATAGGCTGACTTGATGCATCACGTCTATCACACATTGATATATGCACAGTAGGAATTTGTCTCATTTGTCTCATGAGCATCACGGTATGAGAGTTACCTAATACGTTGTGCCAAATCCCTGTAGTTTTCACCTAATGATTTATCTTGATGTAACTTATATCATAATATTCAAAAGATATCATAATATAATATTCAAAAGTGTATTTCTTGTGATATTTTGCTATAGGCATGTCGGACTGAATAAAGCGGTCATCCCTGATTTAATTATAGTTTTTCTCATATTCGCTCAAATATTTCTCTTCTGTTTTACAAACTAATACTTGTCAAAAAGAAGGAAATGGAATGATGACTATTTGTGCTTTCATTTCACTTGCATAACAGGAAAGTTACTATGGCTTGGAAAAAGAGCCAGTGCATTTTTTATTTTTATTTTTTTGCAGTATTATGTTTTCCAATTCAAATCTGAATTGGAAGAATTTCAAGAATAAGCATGAGGCAACTGACATTGAAGGACATGATGTTGGGTCCTAAAAAATCAAAAGAGCTTGTTTTGCTTCACAAGGAACTCTTCCTAAATTAGATTGCTTTTTTGTTGAAAAGAAAAACCTCATTTCAAACTAAGTGGCATATAAAGTGGCCAAATCCAAGAAGCCTCATGCTATTGCAGAAGATCTGACCAATCCATGTGCAGTAGAAATAGCAACAATTATCTGGGCAAAGAAGCAAGAAAAATATTGAACAGTTGCCCCTACCGAATGTCCTTCACAACCAAATCATTGATATGAGTGAAGATATTTTGGGCCAAATCATCTCAGATGTCAGACCTAGTCCTTTTAAAATCTCCATTTAGTTGGATGAATCAACTGATGTCTCCAGCTGTAATCAACTCACATTAGGAATGTAAATGATGGTGCTGTGAAGAGTGATTTCGTGCTTTGTAAAGATCTGAAAACACAATTGCAAAGGATGTGATGCAGTTGGTCAAAGATATCTTTGTTAAATATGATCTAGATATCGAAGTAATTGGTACTGTGTCCATTGACCTGTAATGCTTAAATGTCTTTTCTGCATTGGTGAAAAAGGAGATTCTATACTTGCAAGTTGCCCATTGTTTTCTTCATCGGTATGCTTTGGCATCAAAACATTGCCTCAAAATTTAAAGAAAGTACTTGATACTGGGCATACTTTAAACCATATATTCAAATCATTTTGTGGAGATCTGGGAAGTGAGAATTCAATTTTACTTTTCCACACAAAATTCTTTTGTCACGAGGACAAACTTTAATCTGCTTCTTTGAAATGATGGAAGAAATCAGGTTTTTTTGGAGGACTGAAGTTATATTTCACCTTAAAGGATGGAAGGAGACAATCTCTAAAATTTTCCTTCACTTTACAAGATGGTTGATGATGCTGGATCCATAATTCCAACTGTGTGATGAGATTGTGGCTTATTTAGAAATACTGTCAGAATTGTTTAATAGGTATTTTGCTACTGGAGATCTAAAGATTTCAGAATAATGGATTATGAATCCATAGTCCTACAATTTGTAGCAAATGCCAGATGATGAAGAACTGAAGGAAAATCATATTGATTTGTGGACAAATCAAGCTCGTGGAATGTAATTTGAACAAGACTTTGGAAGAATTTTTGTGTGCAGTGCTGGATATGTTCCCAAGCCTTGGGGGGGGGGGGGGAAGCATTCCATGTCATTACATTTACAACAACATACCTGCGTGAGTCTAAATTCAATTCTTTGTCAATCAAGACAAAATCTATGAATTGCTTGAATCCATAGGCACATCTGCAGATCACAGACCCATAAATGTTACACTTTTTGATAAAATCAAAAATATTTAATTGACAGGCAAGAAACAACAGTAACTTGATAAATCTGAGGTGCTGCATTGTTCCAAGATGCAGATGAAGTTGAGAAAGAAATATGTCAAAGAAGCAGCTCAACTTAAAAAACACAATGACTGATGGAAAATGTCTTTGGAATTCTAAAAGTATGATGTCAACATGGTTTATGTAATGAAGATCAAGGAATATTTTAACACCATTCACAGTAAAGTTCAATGAGTTCAAACAAAAGAAGCAAATCTTCCCATTAGAATATTCTTGAAAAGATAACTTCCATATTAACATCTAAACCTCCTCATTCCCCCCGTAAAATAGAAATTTCAGCATCAGCCAACCATTTCTTGTCCACTCCCCGAGACTCCATTACTGGGATGGATATGAGCAGATATTGTAGACATGTAAAGTACTTTAGAAAAAAAGCCGTAATAGCATATGTATACCTGAAAAACTGAGGTAGAGGGAGGGAGGGAGAGCAGATTTAGAGTTGATAGGAATAACATCATAAAGATGAAAGACAGTGGAACAGACTTCTTCCACAGTAGAGATGCATACAGTTATTTTAAGTTTTGAGATTTAAGAACTAATGGCAGTAAAACTGTCCTTATTCATACCTTCCATGAAATGCCATAAAAGATTAAATTGTAGCCATTTGTTTTTGCAACTGCAACATCAACCAGCCTTTTGTAACTCTTACATGTAGACTATTGTGATTATAGAAAGGAACATCAAAATTAGCACCTTATTTTTGCTCAAAGAGGTAACTGAGTTTCATCTTTGTTGCTGAAACGAGAAAAGAGCCATACAAAATCTCAAGATGTTTGTTAATGTTGCACCATAAAAATTACTTGATTAAAACTTTTATATGTCTCAAAGATTGTTTATGGGAGATTGCCTGTAAATTCCTTGAAGACAAAAATTTCCCCTCCATTAGATTGAAAACTAAAGCAGGTAAAGATTACCTCTCCTGGAAAAGGAGGACATTAGAGTGGAAGAAGACATAAGTTGTATGAAAAATTAGATCTGTAAAAAATGCAAAAATATTAAGAGAAATCATGCAGAAGTAGTTCTTGTGTCCATTTCAAAAGTAACATAAAAAGTACCAATTTCATTAGAATATCCAAGTATTTCCAGTTTTTCCATAGAGCAAATGACAAATTGCATAAAGGTGTAACATGAATGTTTGTTTTTTCCCCTTTTCCTAAATATATAATGAACCATTGGCCATTTATAAGCAGAATTATCATCATATTTTAACATGCAACATTGTTCTCATTTCTGTATGATTAAATAGACTATTTACACACAGTTCATATATAATCTCTTTCTCTCTGTATGCACATGCATTGGTCTTAGCCTAGGCATCAAAGGCCACATATGAGTTCTCTGGGTCAATTTTCTTCAAGTGATTCCAGTTTGAACTTTTGTTAAGCTTTGGATAGGTTGTAATCTCCTCAGTTCTTCCGAATATCAGCATAGACCACAGACTCGGATTTGTTGATTTTGTCACTGTAGCGCCCTCCAGAGTGATCTAACTGTGCATAAATTACTGGTCCCTAAAATCAGAAAAAATAAACATGGTATAAACATTTCATTATTCTATCATAGCTAATGAAAACTCAGAATCACATGCAGATGAAAACAAGGGATTTTATTTCCTCTTTTTGAAATCCAGTCTTAGAAATCATACCAATTATGTGGGTTATTCCTGTAACCATCAATCTGTTGACATAAATATAAAATTCATAACAAATGGCTTATAATTCTCTGTCTTTTATGCTTTGGGGAGATAAGATCATTTGTAGTTTATGTGGCAACATAATCAAATACAGTGCAAAGAATGAACTCATGTACACCAAGTAATCGGAGCCCTGCTAAGTAAGCTCATTCACAAGATTCCACTTTTCCACACACTTACCATCACAGATTACATTTATTTTTGAAGGTGGCATTAATTCAAGAAAAGGAAGTATATGGGATACCAACAAGAAAGGAACAAGTAGCTGAAGAATAATTCCTAGGTATTTACATTTTACAACTCTGTAAATCTTTCTTGACAATATTTGGAGTACAAAATTATATTGATTACAGTAACTCTGTCCCATATCTTTCAGAATAAGTCTCCTCAAATCTTTAAGTGATAAAATATAGCTTCATCACAAGTATTAGAGTTATTGAATAGGACTTAACATTCCAGTTCTTTAGGACATAAGTCAAAGAGTTTTGTTTAATGGATTGGCAGTGCACATAAGGAAGCATTTTAAGGAGAAAAATAATTGGGAAGAATGAATATGGTATATGTTAACAGCAAACAAGTAGGGGGAAAGACAAGATTTTATTTTTCCCAAAATGCAACTGCAATCTTAAAAAGGAATTGTTTCTTTTATGTGCAAGTTTTCTTATGCTTTTTAGTAGCTAATACAAATAAGGTAGGGCAGTTTTGGTCAACCTTTTCAGCACTGAGTGCCGAAACGGGAGTGCTCGCGCAAGTGCTCGCACACGCGCGTGCCGGAAAAAGAAAGAGCAGATGATCTTTCGGTTTCTGGTGCGTCTGGTCTTCCGGTTTCTGGCGCAAAGACCAGCTGGCTGGGGCACATGTGCCAGCTCCGCCTGGCCTTTCAGGGGATCTTGTGCCTCCCTCTCCATCCCCCTGGTCCCTATTAGGATGGCGGGACATCCCCAATGGCGACCCGGTTCCACAGGCCCAGACAGGGAGAGAAAGTTGGGCAGGAATGCTACTTCCCTCCACTGGAAAGCCAGATCCCCTTCCTGGCCTCGGAGGGAAGGGGCACCGACGTTCCCGGGAGAGTGCCCCTTCCCTCCGAGTTTCAGGAGGGAGAGCTTTTCCCTAATTCTAGCCGGGGTGAAGTGCCCCACTCCAGGCCATCACCGAGAACAAGCCAGAAGACACACACACACACTTCTGTGCACCTTTTAACCCTGGCACTGGACAGATGTTCCTCTCATGTGGACTCAGCTCCTGTTCAGTCCTGCAGCCCCAGAAGAGCAGCAGTAGCAGCCACAACAGGGCGAGAGATAGGAGCGAGAATCACCACCGCCCTTTCACCTGCCAGGGGTGAAAGGGCAATGGCGGTTCTCGCTCATGTCTCTCGCCCTGTTGTGGCTGCCGCAGCTGCTCTTCTGGAGTGGCAGGGCTGCATGTGTGAACCACCACCCCCTTAGCCCCGGCGGCAGCAGTAACAGTGGGCGTGGCAGTGTTTGCTGGCTGGGCAGTCAACTGCCCCAAGCCTGAGCTGGCCGGCATGTTGGAACCTGGAAGAGCAAGTGGAGCAGAGCTGCTGGCCACGACAGGTGAGCCAGGGCTTCCCTTCCTCCTTACCTGAACGGCTTTCTTGTGTGGCCCCAGCCCTCCAGCCCACAGCACCGACACACGTCTGCTCTGCTGGGAAGATGATCTTCTGGTTTCTTGCAGACATGTGCACCAGCCAGTGAGTCTTCACGCACACATGCACTCCAGAAACCGAAAGGCTAGGTAGCCATCAGACATGCATGCTCTGGGAAACGGAAGATCATCTTCCCACCACGCATATGCACACTGGGCAGCTGCTCTTCTGATTTTTGGTGTACATGTGAAAGTCCAGCTGGCTGGCACGCAGGAACCCGGAAGAGCAACGGGCGATGGCTGGCGTGCCCAGAAGGATCGCTCTGCGTGCCCCTTCTGGCACGCATGCCATAGGTTTGCCATCACATCGGTAGGGGATTCATGTAACTATTTTCTAGCAAGGAGAATTGATCAGGGGAACATCGTGGTCTTTTGCAAAAATTTCCAACTGTAATCAGTTATACAAATAGTAATTTGTTGCAAAAATTGTAATCTGCAATCATTTTGTGTCAATTATTTGAATTTCATTTGAATACATTATTTGAATTTATGTCAATCCTTGGAAGGGCAATCACATTTCAATAACTTTATAATACTTATAATCTACGTAACCAATAAATATTGCCAGGTAAATCTCAAAAGAAAAGCATAAGCATGGAGAAGTATGCCAGGATAGTTGTATTTCAAGAAAAAAGGAAGCATATACAGTACATGTTGCCTGAAAAGTTTCAAGTAGAAAGCTATATTGGTCAGATATATTTGCTTCAACAAGAAATTATGGGGAAAAGATTTTAGCATTCAGAAGCACTGTCTGGAGTGCTATGTAACTGAGATATTGACTTCTAATTTATCCATTATATATATAGGAACCCAGATAACCAATCAGGTCAGTATTAGACCTAGAAAGCAGGGGTTAATTATCACATTCAGAATGATCAAGCATTCTACAGATGAACAAAGAAAAAGGAGAATGAGTTCTATATACTAGCTGAACATGCACAATTGTGAGAAATTATGGTTCAGATGAATTTATTGATAAGGACAAGAGGGTAAACCTGATGAGTTTAGCTGAAGATGGAATGAATCCATGAAGGCTGTTTTCAAACATGCTGTCTGAAATCCAACCTGGGCAACAAGTTTCTGCTTTCAGAACAAGCAAATGTTAATCAACTTTAAGACTAAATATTTAGGAAGTAAATAGGATACCAGGAGACTGGATAGGTAATGCACAAGCTGTTACTTTGAAAGTACAGTATTAAGCTGGTGAAGTTTTTTAAAGAAATCTCCCCCTGTTTTCTTCAGTATATACATTTATTTTAAACTCCTCCTTATTCTAACAGCAGCAATACAAATTCCTGCAGAAAATTACATTCTGGTGCCCATGAAAATGATTGCCTGAAAATAAAGTATTATAAAATAACTGTATCCCAATTCCAAATTTGATGTGTTTTAATTCATTTCCAGAACTTCTGGTAGCATTTTAAGTATAGAAAAAAGATAGAAACCAAGGGATAAATGCTTTATGTTCCAATATACATTTAAGGGCTCCAAAAGGAAGCACTACTGATTCTAAATTTCTGAAACAAATCAACGGTACCCTGATACACTAACTGGGCACTAGAGTCTGTGCTGATATTAAGAAAAATATTTCTATTTCTTTTGGTTTAATTCATTACAGCTTCTTTTATGTCTCAATTAAAGGAACTTAAAAATAGTTTGTAGAATAGGGATTCTATATGGGCTGCAGAAATCCAGTAAACATTAAGTTGGCAACAATTTAATAAATCATTAACTGTAGGTTGCCATACAGCATGGGTGTCAAACTCGCTGCGTAATGTTGCTGTCACGTGACATATCGTTACTTTTTTCCCTTCGTGGAGCTGGGATTGGTGTGGTCTGCATGTGACACATCTGGTCCGCAGGCCACCAGTTTGACACCCCCGCCATACAGTGTCTGTTTGAGTAGATATGACAACTCTACTATAACAAGCCTGGCTGAATGCATTGTTGTATTTATACAATGTTCTCGGACATGAGATGTGTTCAAATGCAAGCCGCCACTAGGAAATAGACAAAAAGCAACAAACAGTTTATGAACTATGTTGAAACAATATCTAATAGGGGTCAAACTTCTGTATTTTTAATTGAATTCCAAAACACAAATGTAATCACTTTATCATAATCTTTCTCTAAATTGACAAATGCACAATATAGTGTATTGTAGTAGTGACATAACTACTAATTACTTATTTCGTGTATTAGTGGTACACTACTACATAAGTGCAACCTACTTTTATTTCTACTAATTCACAACTGTGGTACTGTAGATAAAATATAAAGATTTGCCCTGTCCAGTTGTGTCTTACTCTAGGGGGTGGTGCTTTTCTCTGTTTCTTAGCTGAGAGTCAGCGTTGTCCAAAGATATTTCAGTGGTCATGTGGCCAGCATGACTATATGCCAAAGACATACAGAACACTGTTACTTTCCCACCAAAGTGGTACCTATTTATCTACTCACATTTGCATGCTTTCAAACTGCTAAGTTGGCAGAAGCTGGGGCAAATAATGGAGTTCACCTCATCACACAGTGCTTGGGTCTCAAATTGCTGACCTTCTGGTAGACAAGCCTAGTGTCTTAACTGCTAGGCCACTGTGCCTCCTTTACTATTACAACTACATTATAAAATTAGAAGAATATCCTCCAAAACCAAATCAACTTCATCAGTTATTACCTATTTGCCAGGCAGCAAAGCAAACAACATTTCATCAATATCATTATTCCTTTTAAGGAGTTCATAATCCAGGTCTATATTTAAGTCCTCACTCATCTGGTATTCATAACTGACAAGAAACTCCTTGTTGGTAAATGGTTGACACTATTCCTTTGGAACTCAGCATACAAACACTACCATTTGTTTCCTTCCCCCTACCATACTCTATCAATTAATAAACAAAATCCTGCCAGTAATTTCTGAACTTACGGTCAAGACTACTAATAGTCATCTGCAACCACTGAAATATCACGTGGAACTGTGTAAGTTAGTTAGAACATAGCTAAATTATAACATCAAACTATCAATAAGTAATAATTCCATCTATATAAGTTTCTCATTTTTCCAAAAAACCTTCATAAATGTTTTGTGCTCTCTTTGGTGAAATATTATTCCTTAGTTAAGAATCTCAAATCACACCATAAAGCCTATGACTTTCTTCTAAGATAGATAACTTCGAACAGATTTGGAAAAAGTAAAATCTTTTCTGATCAATACAATTTCTATTATTTCTTTCTACCCAACAAAAATCATTCACTGTAGGAAAAAAAGAGACCTGTTATTTATTTCCCCATTTCAAGTCAGCCTTACTACCTTACTGATTCCAAAGTCCCTAGGTCTGTTTCTATGTTATACACTTAAGCAGTATTTAGTGTTGGCCCAACACTAATGGCAAAGAATAAGAATAATAATGCCTACAATACTATATAAATCTAAATACTTAATACTTTAAATCAGGGGTCCCCAACCACCGGTCCACGGACCGGTACCGGTCCGCGGAACAAGTCTTACCGGGCCGCTGGTTGCTGGTCGCCGCCATCTTTTTTTGATAAAAAAGTGCTTCCGGTGAGCTTTTCCGGGTAGAAAGCTCACCGGAAGCACTTTTTCATCAAAAAAAGATGGCAGCGCCAGCGCTTCCGGTGAGCTTTTCCAGGTAGAAAGCCATTTCTACCCGGAAAAGGTCACCGGAAGCGCTGGCACCGCCATCTTTTTTGATGAAAAAGTGCTTCCGGTGAGGTCACCGGAAGCACTTTTTCATCAAAAAAAGATGGCGGCGCCCAGTTGATGCCGGTACCGGGCCGCGGCGCCCAGCTGATGCCGGTACCGGGCCGCGGCATAAAAAAGGTTGGGGATCACTGCTTTAAATACTTAATATTCTCAAAGGCATATAATTACAGCTGAAAGAAATTGAGACACTACTGTGGAACAGCTATTTACTCAATCCTCCAGATTTTTATAAATCAAACCTCTAGGACTGGAGACCTACATGAAGGTAGACTACCTTTAGTAATTTATCTCACTACAGAAACTCATCATTTATTAAGATTAATAGCCCTCCAGTAGTTTAGCATTGCCAAAGACAGCAAGTATATTACAAAAATAGGCAAAAGATAGCTTCATTTTTCACCGTAGATTCCATTACAGCAGGAATTTTTCCAGATATTTTTCCGTGTATGTGTTTCAATGATGAATTGTCCCTTCCTCCCCTTAACAAAAATAACCACCTTTGCAGTCACTAGGTAATCTCCGAGTCAGACTTTGATACCATTTACCTGATGAGATCGGATGGGCCCGCTGTTTACCAAAACCTCTGTGTCGGAGGGGGACTTCCGTGGAGCCTGCTTAACTGGAGACATCAAGCTCTCAGAAGTACTGCAGCTGATGAGGTGGCAAGCAGATTTTGCAGAATAACATTCAAGAAGTAAATCCAAGACAAAACAAAACAAAAACAAAGGCAAGTGATGGCAAGATGAGGTGGCAATAGGCCAAATAGAGTGACTTCAGTGAATGACAAGACAACACATACATCCTTGTTTTATATTTGCTCAGGTCAGTCATGACTATATTTTCTCCCTTCACATACAAAGAAGAAAGTCCTTCTGCTCCAGGTTAGAGAAACTCATAGCCACAGAAAGAATTAACTCCCCCTGCCCCATCTTCATGTAATATAATTTAATTTAGAGTTTATTAGATTTAAAAGCCACCCAACTCCATTATGGATGATTCTGTGTGGTATAAATATATCACATTTAAACCAAACAATCCACACAATTAAAAATACAAAGGGATCTACTGGAGAAAACCACAATCACCTCACAAATTAAACCAACTAAGAAGGGTCCTACCGCTCACTCTAGCCCTGGTCCTGGGAAAAGAGCTAGATTGTAAGATCTTATCTAAATAATATCAGGGTAGAGAAAGAAGGGATTTCATCTCTGGAGGGAAGATGCTACCTCTGAATAGACAATTTCCAGCATCTCCTGAATTGACGAAGCTTAAAAAATGGAATCCAGACCTGCCAACTCTACCGGATAATGTAGGGTTGACAATATTACATTATCTGGAAGTGACTTTTCTGTATAAAATTTGCTGCTAGGAGAACTATCTAGCTTGATTCTAAAAATAGGAATATAAATTCCATTAATCCTTTTCCAAAACATCAGTTTTTCATAAGATCTCCAAATGTTTTGGTCAATAGCTGTTGATGGCAGCTATACCCAAAGTATCTGTAGTTATCATATTGGGGAAATCTAGTCTAGATTGGTTTTCTTCCTGCATAGCAAACACAGTGATGTTTAAAAATTTGTGAACCTTTTTGAATTTTCAATATTCCTGCATCAATGTAACCTAAAACATTGTTTTCCCCATGTATGTCCTAAAACTAGTTAAAGAAAACCCAATTAAGCAAATAGATCAAAAACGTCTTATTTGTTCTTTTTTCATTGAGGAAAATAATTCCAAGCTACTTATTTTATGGAAAAGGTATATGAATCTTTCAGTAACCAGTGTGGTCCCCTTGGAAGGGAATAACTGAAAAAAATTTCTTGTAATTTTTAAGCAGTCTTGCACATCAGCTTGGAGGAATTTTAGTCCATTCCTCCATATATAGATATTCTTATATAAGCAACTTTTCCACTGTTTCATTTCCAATTATGTAACTTCTTATTCTTGCATTAGCTTCCCACTTTAGGTTCTTCCACAAAATTTCTGTAAAATTAAGGTCAAAACTTTGACCTGGTCATTCTAAACATTAACTTTGTTCTGTTTAAACATTCTTTGGTGGTATCACTGTGGATTTGGGTTATTGTCTGGCTGCCTGATCCACTTTCTCTGGAACTACAGATACCCTGACCTTTTCCTATAGAATTTGCTGGTACAATTCAAAATTAGTAATTCCATCAAGGGTGACAAGCTGTCCTAGTTTAGAAGCAGCAAAACAGGCTCAAACCATGATACTGCTGCTACCATGTTTCCCAAATGGGATAAAGTTGTTTTGCTAGATTGCAGCGATTGCCTTCATTCAAGCCAAAACATTCTATTTTGGTTTCATCCATCCATAGAATGTTCTTGCAGTAGCCTTAATTCACGTGGTCTTTTGAAAACTGTAGATTTAACAGCAAGTTCTTTTGGGGAACTATTGACTTTCTTATTTATTTATAAAATTTATTTCCTGCCCATCTTGTATCTAATGACTCTGAATTTCTTCTTGCAATCTTGCTATTCTTCAATAATCTGCTGATGGTGGTCTCATGAACACTGACATTTGCTAATTTAAGAAAGGCCTTAAATTCTTTATATATTATCCTGGACTTCTTTAAGCCCCCTCAAGAGCATTATGCACCTTGCTCTTGGTGTAATCTTGATTTGTTGTAATCTTGATTCCTGGGGAGGTTAACAATGGTGTTCAACTGTTTCTGTTTGCACACAATTTGCCTGACAGTGGACTGATGGAATCAAAACTCTTCGAAAACAGATTTGTAACCTTTTCCAGTTTGGTGAGCATCAACAACTATTTTGTTGGAAGTCTTCAGAAACCTGCTTGATCAAGCAAAGGCACACTTCTATATGCATGTGTTGGGAAGATCAGATTTTAATTGTGATTATCCAGAATTCTATTCTTTAAATAAGGAGAGGCCCCTACACATGTAAATCTGATTATCATCCCATTCATCAAAATATCTAACTCTAATTTTCCCTTCAAATGAACAAATAATCCTAGAAGTTCAGCAACTTTTGCCACACACAAATATGTAGCTTTGGGTCATTTTCCTCAATGAATAAATGAACAAGTATGTTTTTGACTCATTTGTTTAACTGAATTCTCTTTATTTAATTTTAGGTTGTGTGGAAAACAAATCATGTTTTAGGTCATATTGAGGCCAAATATAGAAAATTTTAAAAGGTTCAAAATTTTTAAGCATCAAAATTAAAACCATATGGAAGTGTGATAATGAAAAGATAACAATGCTATTAAACAGAAAGCAGCCCTCCACTAATCAATTTTGTGAGTGAACTTAAATACTGAACATTCAAAAGGCAGATGTGAGATTTGAAGCAATACACCGGAACACAATATTGAGAAAACATAAGAGCTAGTAAACTAAACCCCAGAACATAACAATCAAAGGACAAATAAGCATCTGGAATCTATCCTAAGAGAATGTGCAACTCTGCACTGAACCAGTTAATAATACTGAATTCACAGTTTGTGCATAAAATATTTTCAGGTGCATTTTTTTTACTGACAGCAATCTTATTTTTTTTCTCATAGTACAAAAAGTCCAAATATTCAATTAATGCATGCATCTGAATTAGCTGCTTCTGAAGGTACATAGCCTTGTTGCCAAAACTGAAGAAATGAGACAACAAAATGCAAACAATAGATGAGATATGCTGCCCCTTCACCAACAGTCCACAAAATAGAAATTCAGCATAAGTGTTGGAAGTATGTTAGCAGAATAGTAAGCAAGGGAGGCAGAAATGTATATACATATGGACATAAAGTACCAAAGAACTACTGGCATGATTAGTTACCATGATATATAGTGGACTGGAAGAGATGACCCAGCCCTGTTACATTCCCAGTCTTGCATCTATATCAGGATCTCTGTAAGGAAAGGAAGATAAAAAGCAGGATCCAATCCCAGCATACCAAAACAGTAATAGGGAGAAAAAAATCAAAGAAAAAATAGACGTTGTGATACTGCCATGCAAGAGTTACCACCACCACCTGTCTCGATCAGTTACAGCTCTAGTGTTAGTTTATTTAGAAATTAAATATCATATATTATATATACACACAAATGTGTGTGCGTGCACACACACACACACATTCTTATTTGTAATTACTTGAATAGACATCCCATCAGAAACACAGTATAGTCAATGAAATCAATGTTAATGTGTGTTGCTTGGAGACAACAACAAAAGAACAATAATTTTACACAAAGATAGTCCCAAACCTTCAGAAACAATACACTTGATGAAAAAAATATTATTCATATTAAGACATGGCATCCTGGGTGCAGATCAGTATTCAAGTGTTATGGAAACAGTACATGCACAAGGGAAATTAAGCTTTCCACACCAAGCCAGAGCTTATACAGCCAATTCACTGCACTCATTCAACCTTACCACTAATATCTACTGCAGCACTTTCTAAATTCTGCAGCTGAAAAGAAGGTTACAAAAAAGATGCCAATTACACATACCCAGTACAAATTGACTTTTTAGCACTGTATGAATAATATTTACTGGCTCTACAAAAGCAAGAAGTCAGGCCATGAAATGATTGATCCTGAAAGAATTGTTATGTGCAATTTTCTGTGCACAGAGCTGCATTTCTGTTGGAACTAAGTGGTCAAGCAAAGTAAATACCACCACCGGTTCAAAGGAGCCCATCAATCAATTGTTCATGGCAAATAATCCACCTTGAGGATATTGTCTAATAGACGTTCCTTAAAGCCAAATTACAGGAGGCATCATGAGTGCAACAGGAACTAAAAGAAGTCATGCATATGATAAAGCCAGTGAAAATAGCAAAAGGGCAGCGTTCCCAAAGCCAAGATTGGAAAGCTATGGAAAGCGGACTGTTGTAAAAGGAACTGGCAGCCATACCCCCAATCTTAGAGACAAAAAGTTGTGCCATCCAGAATGTAACCCGATAGTTACACAGCCTCCTTTATCCTGAGAGCTGCAAGGGGGCAGTTTTAGGCTATTTTCCAAGAAGGAACTTAATTGACTTATAAAGAGGAGCAACATACAAATATATGTACACCATGAAGTTGACAATTTATAAGCTCAGAAGAATGTGTTTTCTAGCTGTCCCAGTAATTTAATCCAAAATTATAAATGCACAAATTCATGTTTCAAACTGTTCATATTCCCTCCCCTCTCCCCTCTAAAGAATATCTAAAGAAACAAGTATAGTACCTTACCCAGAATAATGCTTTTTGGAATTCTTCTTTCTGATCATAACACACACAATAAGCATGATGACGAAAACTAAAACTAGAATGCCAACACCGGTTACCCCTAACACAAGGGTAAGAGGAAATACAGACAAGTTACCTGAGGAGAAAAAAAACCTTTCATTTCAGTTATCATTATACCTTGTTAAAACTGATCACACATTATTCCACTCAAAATTTTAATTCAGTTGTGGGTGCATTTATATTATCAGTATGCTTTTTAATACTTTTTACTTATTAAACATGAAGTGAAAACCATTGATATGTTATATAGGATGTCTCCTGCTTTTATGTTTAAAAACAAGAAACAAAACTAACACCCAACTCAGATTCAGTTTGTAATCATCTAATACTTTTCACAAGCATTATTACCATATGTCCCCAATTGTATTCTTGTGCATTTGATTTTTTTTTAAAAAAAACCTTTGTATTTGTCTCTTTTCATATTTGATTCTCTTAGCATGTTTATCTTACCCATCATGATAATTCTGAATTTTATTTTTGTCTTCTAAAATATCCTACTTTATTTTCTATCAAATAAGCAATTTAATAAGAATTCACTCCATCTCTTCTTCCAAACCATTAACAAAAAGCTTGAATTGTAGAGGGCCCAAGACTATGTAGTAATTTACTCCAACTAGTATTTATTCCACTCTGAGGAGGAACCATTGTTAGTGTTCTGCAAGTATGATTTTCAACTACATATATGCTTAACTGTAATGACATCCATACATTAGCTTGCTCATCAGAATGCCATAAAGTACTTTATAAAAGGTTTTACTAAAATAAAATGTATGTTTTATGGTAGCATTTCTGTAATTTACTGAAAAAGTTATGAATCAAACAAATCTTATTTTAGATTAAGGAACTTTCTTGACAAATTCATGTTACCACACATGTGGCTTTCTGGCAATTAATCTAATATCAATCTAATACAACCTAGAAAACAAATCTCTTTAGGTGTGATGATTCCCCCAGAGGCTTCCCAGACACCTCTCCAGATGCTAGTTCAGAAGAGGATGAGCATCAGGAGGGGAGGCAGACAAGGGCTACAAGCCAGGAGCGGAGAGGCCAAGCACAGGAGAGCAACCAGACAAGCAGCTGTCTTAGCTAGAGACAGGAGAGGCACAACTGCAGCTGGGAAGCCCAGAGGCTTTGAGTGGAGAGGGCACACAGCTGCAGCTGGTCAGTAGAGATGAAGAAGACCTGCTTCCTCCTCCAGATCTAAGAGCATGTAAGGCTGAGAGGAGGCAGGCACAAAGAAGATCAGTCAGGCTACTTGTGAGGAGGCAGCCTTGTCCCTCTTTATGGTCTGCAGCAGGAAGTAGTTATTTAGTTTAGCAAGGAGAGTGAAACAATGCTGGGAACATATTTTTGTTGTGTGTTCTTGCTTTGAACTTTGGATTGTGCAACTATGGAATTTCCTTTGCCTTTTGGCCTTGCCTTTGCCATATGGATTTACCTGTGCCTTTGTGTACTTGCCTTTGCCTTGTGTACTTGCTTTGCCCTGTGTGCCTTGTGACTTGCCTTTGCCTTGGGGACTTGCTTTTGCCTAATGGATTGGACTTGCCTTTGCCTTGTGGTCAAATGCTGGCTTCTTTTGAGTAGCCTGCTGAACTCATTGGAGGTGAGCTGCTGCTGGAACATGGAATTGCTGGGGAATACTAATTCAGGCATGGAAGCTTTAATAAAGACTCCTAACACTGCGGTGTGCGTATGTCAACAGGACAGCACATTAGAAATGTACTCTAGGTCCTTCCCATTTTTAAAAAATGTAAGAATGACTTTTCTGTGTTCTCTAGATTATTTCTCTCCCCACCCTTCCCATTTTAAGATAATTTGTTTTCCCAGAAGCTAGCACCTTGCCCATTGTCCATAATTTATTTAGGATACTGTAAGGCCATCAGAAGATATTCCTTCAATGCCCCAAGTGCAATTCATCTGGTCTTGGGAAGTTATAGATATTTCTTATCATTCATAAGCTCAGTTCTATCTTTTTCATTCTCTGAGTTTATTAAAATCCACTTTTAAAAGTCCAAGATGTATTTGAATAGGCTCATCATTGTATTACTATGTGTCTTACTTATCAATTTGTATCAAGTTAAGGATTTTTTGTCTTCTTTCACTATCTGAAATAAATCTAAATGTTATCACAGCATCCCACTGTTGTTTCTCAGAATTGCTAAAAGTGCCATGTTTCGGAGCGGTTCGGCCACTCGATTCTGGACCTCTTTGCCTCTCCGTTGAACTCCCAACTCCCAAGATTTTTTGTGAGGCTTCCAGCACCAGGGGCAGAAATAAACCAGGAGACAATTTTAGATATACCAGGAAATAATTTTAGGTATACCAGAGGACAGCATGAAGCAATAAGAACTTCATACTCCTCAGAGCTGAAAATGTATCTCTTTTATGAATATGTTTTTTTCTACATAAGACTAACTATATTTTAGGACTCTCCACATAAAGAATCTCTCATTCCATTCAGTGACTCTTCTTTCAGATAAAGCAATATTTATATCAGTACTTCCCATGGCTTTTCCTTCATTACCCAAACCGCTTATCAGAAAGTCTTGTCAAACTTTGAGGACCGGACATAAATCCCTGCAATCAGTGGTTACTGAATGAATAACCATAACTCAGGGACTAGTTATATTATGAAAACAGTATCACTTAATGATATTTACATCATTTCAACAAACTACCATTGGTAATTTTATTGTATTAATAAGAATACTTTGGGAGAACTTCATATATATTTTAGGCAATATTTAACTCAATTTAAATGTCCTTGTGTTGTGCAATAAGTTTATATGCCATTACCCAAAGAATTTTTTTTTTACTGATTTTGGGTACCTTACCTAGGTTTGGGAAGCACTGATTAAAACCTCTGAAGTTTGTTGATTTTTCTTGGTAAATTTATATATAACTTTATTTACACCCAAAAGATCCAAATAGCAAAGTACAAACATAATCTAAAATTTGGTATTATATAAAACAGTTTAACAAATAAAATAATTTATAAGTGTTACATCAAACACACTCAATCTTATTGATTTGTTACTAAAGACCTTGTATTTATGGCCATAGTTAAAAAGTTGGGTGTTGCTGCTCTAATTTTAGGATTTTTCTAGGTGAAATGTTAACATGTTCGGACACACCTTTTACTGGTCTTGATTTTAAAATACACCAGATAAATATACTGCTCAAAACTCTTTCAAGCATCACAATACAATACTCAATACTATTACAGGACAAAATCTTGGAGAAATTGGAATCTTTGATGGCAACACATTTAATCTAGCTTTTGAAAAGACCATTTTGTACTTCTCTAAATGTAAATTAAGCTATGTTGGGAGCTGCAAGTTTATTTGTAATTTATTCCAAAAATCACAGATGAATACAGAATTTTAGCCTTTGTCATTGACTCATTTTAAGTTATTCCATGACCTTTAATACAATAAAATGCTGGTGAAATTTCTACTCCACTGTTCAGAATAAAATAATGGAATAAAATGCAGAATAGCCAAACAAGTACTTGCTTCAGTGCATTGTTACATACAGTAATTTTAGACAAAGAATGCAACTTATGCAGAACCTTTCCATCACTCATTAATTAATTTTTCATTCCATCCACTTATTACTATACCTTTCTCCATAACCCTGACTTTGATTTTTCCTGGTGTAACAACTATATCTGGAGGGTTTTTAACATCACAGATATAGGTTCCATTGTCCTGAAATTGCATGTTTGCTATAGTGATTGATGCATCTTTCCTGTTAAGGTCTCCAGCCCAGTTGCTTCTGTCATCAAATTGTGTACTCTTTCCAAGATATGCTTTTCCATTGTAATAATAGAAGAACTATAATCAAAAATACAAAAATGATGCTGTATTAAAATTTTGCTTTCCACCTATTGTCTTAACAAATCTGCTAAATTTCTTCAAAACTTGACTCATACAATACATGAATTTCAAACCAGTGCAAGATAAGTGACAAAGATAATACCTGAGAGCCTGTAAAGCTGGTTTTAAACCAGCTGAAGGGTCAGAGAAACATTTAACACATAATATCACAAGAGGTTTTAAAGTTTTAGACTAATTTCAGGAGCTCAGGTATCTTGCTTTGCCTGACCTTCCACAATTCCCTCAGTTTTTCTTTTCTCAAAATAATGAACTGATAACTATTACTAATACTATTACTATTACATGATTTCGTTCTGGTATCAGTTTATTATTTTTCCAATCATATTAAGGTAAAAAGATATCTAACCAAGCATGTGAAGTGAGTTAAAGCATGTCCTCATCCAAGCAAGGTTTTCGGTGGCAACCAATTTGGTGCAAAATACAATTAATATCTTAACCAACATTTCAAGGGAACAATCAGGATTTTAGTAGTATAGAAAGTAAGCAAGAATAGGCAGGGCTTTTTACTTCTTACGATTTTCTTTTGCAAACAATTTCTTACCGAGACAGGAGATGAGGATCCCTCGCCTTGGAAACTCCAGGAGACAGAAGCTGAACTGCTGATTACTTCTGTGGAAGTAAAAGTGCATGGAAGCTTTGCCTCAGTCCCATTCTCCACAAGAAAGTCTGACGGCGTGTATACCTCCACAGCTGAAACCTGGACTATCAAGAACATCATTACAAGAATCAGAATACCAGATCCTTCATAAATATTAAAACTATAACAAAGATAGGTATGAAGAGTTTAATCATCAAAAAGAAGATTCAAGAATCTATTAAATCAAAGAGATAGAGTAAAAAAATCAGTTTCAGTTCACTCATCTTATTAAGCCATCATGTGGCTGGTTGGTTTTTGATTTTGTATAAAGTATGGATGCAACATTACAATTTACTGTCATGTGCACACCAGACTTTCTGTGGATTCTCAGGAGATAAATTCAATATAACACATTATTTCAGAATTTTTCATCTTTATTATGCAGACATCTAATTTCATTTTCCAGCAAGCCTAATTTACAGACAGAAGACAATATTTCATTACTCCCCTCTTCTGCTACCCATTTGATATAAGAGCAACCACTTGTGATTCTCAATTGCAGAATGACAAAATGTTTTTCTCTCTATTATTATATAGCTAAGTGTTTTCTACATAAGTGTGCATGCATTTAGTGAAGTTGATGTTCTACATAGATGCACTATTCTATTCCCTGCCTACTTCTTAATTTAGAATTAATAAAGGGCTTACAGATATTGGTGGTTTATTTTCCCACTGTGCAATAGATTAACAATTGGTTTTCCTCTGGCTGGTAAAACATTGAACTTCTATCATTTTTACCACTTTTCATTGTTGTAATTTTGAAGGTATAAACAACTGCACATAAATAGAAAATATGCACTCAGAGAAGGATGCTGTAATTTAACTTTGCACCATGTAGTAGTTCTGTTGATTTAGGGAAATATGTAATTTGAATGGGGGTACTTAATCTTTTGCATGAACTGTAAACATGTCTTTCAATCTATAAGTGATATGATAATTAAAATATCATGGGATATTCAGTTACAGGTAGTCCTCGGTTAACTATTTGTCCATTGACAGTTTGAAGATGCAATGACACTGAATGAATGGTACTTGCATCCAGGCCTCAAAGTTCCGGCTGTAGCAACATCCCTGCTTAATGACAGGACTGCCAGGATTGCATTTATGACTAAATCACTTAGCAACACAAATGCCAATCTCAATTATCATTGTTAAGCAAGAATTACCTGTAAATAATAACAAGCACTGGAAGGAATCTTAAAATATATTTTGGCCTAGCCACCTGCTTATTGTAAGACTCTATTATTATTCCATCCTCAACAGATGGCCATCAGCTTCTGTTTAAACACCTGCAGCAGAGAAGCCTCCACAATCTTCCAAATAATTCCATACCACTGTTAAAGAGCCATTATTATTATGATTTCTTTTGATATTCAACCAAATATATTTCCTTGTTATTTAACCCCACTATTTCTGTTCCGGTTTTCTTCATGACAGCTTGACATGTATCTTAGGACAGGCATCATGCCACGCAGACTTCTGTAAGTTAATCATAGCTAATACCCTCTACCCATCCCTTATAGCTTTTCCTTCCAAACATCTTATCATGTTAATTGCTTTCTTCTGGTTGAGCTCTATTTTGTTGATATCCTTTCTAAAATCTGGAGCCTATTACTGGATACAATGTTAGAAACTGTTAATCCTCTTTCTCCAGAAACATGTTGCAACATCCAAAAATGTTTTCTAATGACAAATCTATAGAATCAAAACACCGCGCGCGCGCACACACAAAAAAAAACCTAGAGAAAGCAATTGTTTCAGTACCCAGTCAACTTCCTCTGAAAAACAATGTAACACAATGTTTCAATGCAGCATTGGGGTTTCTGGAACTAGAGAAAAAACACATATGAATGTTTACTCTCAAAAGCTCCACCCAGACATTATGAAGTTTAAGAAAACAGAATCATAATTACAGGATCTCGATATCCTAAAACGTGTGCTTTATTTTCACATGCTCTCATTTTAGTTTGAAAAAAATATCATTAAATTTGCCTAACTAGGAAACACCAATAATTAAACCAACACAAAAAGCATTTTATCATTCCAGATTAGTACACAAATTAGGGTTTAACCTTTTTGTGAACATCTCTATAAAAGTATGTATGTTGATATTTGTGTCCCAATTTTTAAGAATTGGAAGTTTAAATTCCAGAAACTGTTAACTTGCAACATCTTAAAACTAGTATATTCAGGATGAGTTGGAACAACTCGGTTGGCCAAAATAGATAAGAAAATTATAGCACAACGCATTGAGCACCAAATTGGGAGAGCTGGCTGACATTATTATTTTCAGATGATGAAATCATAGTTTGTGATTTCTCTGAAGCAGCACCATGATATCCTTCTTTTACCACTGTTGATGTTTTCTGACTTTCACAGAATAATTCATGACGTTCTAATAAATATTACAGCATTGTGCATTAGTTCAAGGCTGTTTCAGATTTTGATCAAAAGCGCAGGCAACTAAAACTTAAAATAATATTCCTGATGAAAATAATTATCAAAACCTGCTTATAAGAGGTTGGGACACAGAATCACCACTACTGATTATTCTAGGCCACCTGCCAATATTTACATATTTTAATAATGCCAGAACATAGTAAAGAGCAACACTTGATCCCATCATTTTTTGGACTTCACATTGCCAAAGCTTTTTAAAAGAGTCACAGCATAAAATAAAGTGCATACCTCACTAATCAAATTGAAATAATAAAAGTGTTTCCTAAATTATATACCAAGATTTTGAAAACAGGGTTTAGAAGACAATAATTATTCAACAACTCTGTTACATCAGAGTTGGAGTTTAGTCTAGAAAAAAAGTAAATATTAGCGGCAATGTATTTTGATTATCACACTACATTTAATTAATCCAGAGATTAATACTAGTCAAGTAAATAGTTTGAACTGAAACTTCCTCGCCATTAGCCATTTTTAAGATGCATGAAGTTGCTTAGTTTCTGGTTTCTATAAAGGATGTTTCTTTTCTGGATTCTAGTAAGAATGAACCCAACAGCATAATAACTGGTATGGAAAGAACCACATAGATTAAGCATGGACAAACTATGGCCACCTCAAATGTTATCAAATTGCAACTTGCATCATTCCTCAACAGTTGACAGGCTTGCAAGGGCTAATCTAAATTTGAGTTCAACAGCATTTGGATCATCTAGGAGTGTCAAACTCACGTCGTCACGGCAGTGCCACGTGGTGTATCAGGACCTTTTCCCCTTCACTAAACTGGGTGTGGGCGTGGGCAGTGCATGACGCATCCAACCGACAGGCCAGGAGTTTGACAGCTCTGATCTAGATGGTCACATGCTACTTGACACCACAATGAACTATTGCAATGAGAATTGAACGATGTTGAAAATAGGTTAACTTATTATATTTTATTTGCTAAAGAATACTCCATACTCCTTTGATCTACTATTGAAAAATTGTGACGTGTGCTTAGATTTTAAAACAGTCTGGTTGAATCTTGAAAATGATAGTTGTGAAAGTCATAGAATAATTTTTAACAGCTTGGCATAAGCAGATAGCCATATAACTTGCAACATTTTGACCTGCATGAGTATAAGCTAAGAGTCACCAAAGGGAACACATAGTAAGTCTGAGCAGGAACATTTCCCCCCCACCCCCCAAATAGTTGAATATCTCACTTATCTGGGAACAGAATAACTAACGTTGTGTTTTATCAGTCTAATTATCTCTGTATCCAATCAAATCCCATTCTTTTAATGATTGTTTTCATCTGTCCTATTTTGATCAAAGGTATTTTATAAGCATCCAGTACATCACCAACTCAGACTTGAGAAGTAGGACTTGTTGACTTTGTAATGCAATGCTACCAATTTAGCCAGACACTACCTGGATAAATAATTCTGCAGTAAGTTGCTACTATGGTTTTCTACAAATGGTATGGTTAACAACTTCTAGAGTCCTTCCTTGCTAGCCAAAGTGACAGTGGTTTATATCTAGGTTGTCTATCCCTGAAGCAAGCTGTTTGTAGGCAACCATCTGGAGAATTATTTCATTTGCCTATATCTGCCCAGTTCAACTTGCAGAACCAATCTGAAAGGAACTATTTTTGCCCCTAGTCAAATTATCCTATTTATACTAGAAGACATAGACAGAACAAACATGAACACAGTTCTTAATGGTTGTTTCATAAGATAATTTTTTCTTGTCTCAACATGTATAACAGCAGCAGCTAGGTTTATATTTTTGAGAAATTGCTATTATCTAACCAGTTTAATGTAAGACAAAAAAAAGTATAGATTTAAAAATGCAGCCAATTTTAAAAGAATGTTCTTATTCCTCTAGAACTGTGTGTAAACAATCATCCTAAGGGTTTTTTCCCATTACATTGAAGTTTTTAAAAGAGTGCTTTGTGAAGGCACTCTCAAATTTGAATGAACGACTAATGCTTTTATTTTAAGTTATCTTTTAAAAATATTGGCTTCATGGAAGAAAATAAGATGTTTATTCAATAATTGCAACATGAGAGGAAATAATTTGATGAAATTCAGAAAGAAAGAAAAAACCTTTCCATCTTGGAATAAATTGTATCCAAAGCATAACCTCCAATGCTACAGTGAAATATTGTTTGCCTTTGGCTTACTCTGATATGTAGATGGTTCCAAATACATATCACAGTTTTGGATATATTGCTAAACAAAAATTAAAAAGGCATGTTTTAGTCAGGGTTACAACGGAACCAGATCTAATTCAGTTTCTATTCAAGGGATAAGGTCTCTTACGTAGATTTTTGAATTGAACCCTAAGACCACCAGTGCAAAATTCAAATCAGGGTTAAATATTGAATTAAGTTTTAAAATACTGTAGGTTTTCTGTGCCAGTAAAAAGAAATAGAAAAATATATAAACAAAAAGTTAAGGAGAAAAGGGAAGGAGAAAATAAATATAGTACTTCATATTCTAAAACAAGAGTGCCCAATCCCCAGATCCCTGCCATGGCATGCCAAAAACTGCACAAACAAGAGAAGCCCCATCCATGGGATGCAGGATGTCTGTGGAAAAATCTCTGTCCACAAAGCCAGTCCCTGATTCTAAAAAGATTGGGGGCCTAAAACTAAACTCTAAAACTAAACTCTCCTTCTGGGAGACACAAGTCTATTTGGGCATAAAACATGCCATACACAAAAGGGGGGGGGGATCATCTATCTTCACGTTTACCTCTGGGGCAAAGGTTAAAATAAACCATGACCAAGCTTGCATTCGTTTTAGCTACTGCTAATCTTATTGGAGTTGCCATTAGTTTTTTTTTCTTTTCTTTGATGATCTAATTGTGGGGAAATCTCACTTCTGATAAATATACAGCACAAATTAACAAGTCTTACAACACCCTTTGTAACTACTGTAGTACAAAGCATGGAACTTGAAAATGAAACAATATTTTCAACTGATATATTTCCAATGACTTTTTAAAAATGCAAGTATAGTATCATCAGAATAAAATATTAATAAGTTTCAAACAAACACTATATTAAGTGCAACACTGGTTGAATCTTAGTATTAGCTTGACTTATATTCATATTACACATGAAAAATAACTGTAACATTCATATTGAATGATAAACGCTACACAATTTTACTATTGTTCTATTTGCGGTGTAACATATACATCAAATATGAAATGTTGACTTCATGTAAATTTTTCATGGTAATAAAACTCAGAAGTAGGGAATATTGCCATCTTCGTACTGTTAATATTGCTTCAGGCTACAGAAATATTAGATTGGTAAAGGATGAGGATATGTATCAATTAATTTGTAGAAATATAGAACTTTGCCACAATTAAGGGATAGATTGGATCTATAAAATCATTTTAATGTTGTTAGTTGTCCTTTTGTATGTATTAGTTTTGCATATATTACCTACATCAATTATGAAAGAGCATCAGGATAGAATATTCACAATTGCACTGTTGCCTGAGCACAGATTAGCAAACTAGTAACCTCAAGGATATCATATCATTTGGATAAACCCATTTTCAGCTAAGCAAAATCTTCTTTCTGGTAACATATGAATCATGTTTATCATTTGTTTTCAATGAAAAACAGCTGCAAATATTATAGGAACCAATTCCTAAAACTGATGTTCAGTTCTAACATAATGTGCATGAGCTGAGTGATTCTGCGCACAACTTGGGCTTTATCACCAAAGCTTTCGTTAATACCTGTGCGATATAGGAGGAATTCCAAATAGTACAAGGAATAAAACTGCGAGGCTGTCTTCTTGCTCCCAAGAAGACAAACTCCAAAGCTCCTTGGTAAATAAGCGGCTATATCGATTTGTTTTGTAAATAAAATAAGGAACTTGAAATTCTAAATCAGTTTAAAGCGCACAATTATACTTATGCCCATTTGAGGTGATTTATTTTAATTGCGTACTCGTTCGGTCAAATAACCGTCCTGGACAGCCAACAACCATATCTTTACTACAAGCGTTAAAATCAGTACGTAAGTCCTGCCGCCTAAGTGTACTGTATTAATTCAGACTCTTTTCCACCTTTCCGTACCCGACTTTCCTCAATCAGAACATCCCCGTTATTTGTACAATTGAGCTATATGTCCCGGAGAAGAATAGAGGGTAGGGCATTCCAAACGGGGCAACGGGGTGTGTGGTTTCTGTGTGCGAGAGCGAACGCCTGTGTGTCTGTAGTAGGGTCAATTCTAGATTGTTTTGCAAAGCGATTAAAATGTCCAGGCACCATCATCCTGACACGTACGTTTATCTCTCTCCTCCGCCCCCCAACCACCAGAAACACAGACACCCTCTTCATTTACAAGCAGACGAGGCACCCTGTCAATATATTACTGGAGGGTTGCTTAGAGCTCCTATCCTGCCCTCCCGTCCATCCTACAAAAGCAGCACCTCCTTCGCCTTTTGCGCACCGGTCAGCCTGGCGCTCTTCTCCCCCCCGCCCGCCCCCCATGCACCCCAGCGCAAACTAGCGCCGGCGGATAACTGGCCTTCCTCCTCCACCTCCGGCCCACGCCAGGTCTGGCTAAGAGGGCGACGGGTCTCCGAGGAGGAAGTAGCTTCTCCTTTCTCCTGCGCTCCCTCCGTTTCTCCCCTGCGTTCCCCCCCCCGCCCCCAGCGCTCCATAGCGCCCAATACGACACGCCTCGGACTCACGCAGGGACGAAAGCGCCGCAAGCAGGAGCAGCGCGAGGAAGCAGGCTGTGGACGCGGCACCGTGCCGCGAACAGCCGCTCCCCGAAAACGCCGCTAAAGCCGCCGCTGCCATTTTCCTGCTTCCATCTCCTTTTCTTCCCATTGTTCCACCCCCGCCCATGGATGGAGAGGGGTGGGAAAGCTGAGGGGGACTGCCGCGCGCCTATTGAGCGGTGGCCCTGTCAATCACGCACACCTCCTGAATCCCACGTCTCCTTTTCGCAAGGCTCTGCCTTTCGTTTCTCCTGGTGAAAAGCGGTTGGAAATGCTACCTGCCACTCTCGCTTGAGGGAGTTGTTAAGAAAGCACGGTCTCACCCTCGTTGGGGGGCTGACACGTGATAAGGAGCGACTGAGGCGTTTTTTGTAGCATTCTCTAATATTGCAGCAGGATTCGCTTACTGCCCGGTCTTTTTCTCCCCGTCTGGCAGTAGGTTTTTTTTTCGGCGGCTGTTTCCTTCTTTAGCATCCCAGTTATAAACCATGTATCTATCCAGAGGTTGAAAATGTTTATTCTGTTCAAGTCTACCTAACACTTCGTTTTGAGATAATTCCTCATAGAAATGATCCGGGGCCATTTTTTCACATTAATTTCAACGCATTCTTAACAAGTTTTCCTTGTTGTTTGATGTCAGATACAGCCAAGTGTATAATTTACTGTTTTATTAAAAGGAAGGAAAGTGTTGGTTTTTTAAAAAAAGTATGATTAAATATTTCCATTATGATAAGTATTAGAAATTAAGTATTATAGTTTTGGGTACGCTGTTGATTTAATTCAAGTTCTCAAGCAAAGATGCTACTTTAAGAAGCATATTTCTACTTATTCTTTTTAATATAGACATTTGAGTACAGTCATATAGTTGTAATCAATCATATAGTTCTCCAATCAACACTCTTTTGAGTATGGGAATCAAAATTAAGCTGTTGTGCAAAAGATGACTGCCTAGTCTCCACTATAACCCACCTGGGAAAGGGAAGGTACCACTCCATTGTGTAATGGGAGGCACTGCCAATCCTTGTGCATGATTCTGAAGTCAATCATGCATTTACTCATCATACATCCTATTTATGGTTAACTAGTTTGCAAATCGTGGACTATTTTGTCATACTTTATCTAGTGATACCCACATTGCTACACTTTTTTAAAGAAGTTTTCAAATCAAGGAAATATGATCAGGATAGTTTTGCAAGACTTGTTCTTGATAAATCCATGACATGTTAATAAATACATTATTTTCACAGTGCTTAGAAACTGGTGTCTCCATGATCTAATTCTAGAAACTTTTCAGGTGTTGATTTCAGGCTTACTGAACTAAAGATCTTTGGATTCATTCTCATTCATTCTCTCTCTCTCTCTCTCTCTCTCTCTCTCTTTCTCTCTCTCTCTCTCTCTCTCTCTCTCACACACACACACACACACTTTGAAATTGGGAACATTTAACCTTCAGTCATCTGGGATATATTTTCTCAGAATTTCTCATGGATAATACATTAAAATTCACCAGGTTTTCTGCAAGGTTCTTCAGTTCCTAAGGGTGAGCTGAAGAATTATATGCATTCAAGACAAATATTCCTCTAAAAATCTTTATTTTGCCTCTTCATCCTCTCCCTGAATTACCATCGTTGTTAAAAAAAATACTGAACTTTTTTTTATTATCTGTGAACATTCATCAACTTCACAAGTAAGCCAGTGTTCCACTTCTTTTCTTTTTTTTTGTACAATATCTAAAGTTTTAGCTGAGCTTTCATTTCCTGATTCTCCGTCAACTTCTTGGCTAAGAAATTGCTTTTCTTTCATCATCTTTCCTTCTTCCCCCTCCAAAATGTATCCCTTTTTTTGTGTTGCTAGGTGGCTTTTGCCCTCCATTTGTTAAAATTATGTTTCTTGTAGTTTCAATGCAATATATGAAGATTGAAAAACAATAATTATGTCTACAGTATTATTTTTAAGTATATTCTGTCACAACATAGGGAACTTGTGGTGTCTAAAGGCCATGCTAAGTGTTGGTTGTGGGTACAGCAATAGGCAGAACTATGATGCAAAATGAATGCACACAGTTGAGCTTGAGACTTTCAAAAACTTTCCTTTTTTCTTTCTTTCCAATCAAGTAGAACAGGTAGAAACCAGTAACTGTGATAAAGGTAACCACATTAGGTTGCCACATCAAAGGAATCCCTAGTGGAACCTTAAATACCCAAACCAGAACACTGTAAATATTACCCATTGAAAGATTAAGCATGTCAATTAAAATAAGTAATTATGTTCCTTCAGGTATACTGCAACTATAGTTCCAAGTATTCCAAGCCAACCACACAGAGGAATCCAAGATAGGAAAGCCTTGTATAAATTAAAAATTTGAAGTGATTTTAATTTTGAACAATTTTATAATATGGTATGGTAAAATAACACTTTTTATATTGATTATAGCCAATTGTGCTAACTGAAACCAGGTTATACAGCAATAAACAGTTATTCAGCTAGAACCATTGGATGGTCGTACATTGGATATGTACAATAGTATAGTCCTTATTTCTCATTAACTTTTCTCCTCATTTAATATAAATATTTAATATTTATATAAATTCCTATAACTTGTGCCAATTTTTCTCTCAGTGTTCCCTTAAAGTATTCTGGTTCAATCTAATTTATGATGTAGTTATTACAGAAGGAAAGACAATTTGAAAATATTACTATTTCATAGATGAAATTTATACTAATTATCTGCTCAGTATTTAAGCTTTTTATGTATGTCTGACTTTGGAGGATAGCAAATAATTAGACTTGACTCACAAGAGGGGAAAAAATGGCAAGGGGGAAGTATGACTTCTCCCACACTGATTATACTACACATCAAAAGCATATATAATATAAAGACACATATAAACATGTGATTAACTAAATTACAAAGTGGTTATCAAAGACACCATGCACTAACAATATGGCTTGAATTATTGTCCTGAACCCCATGCCAAAAAGACAGCCAGGTCTTTAAGGCTTTTTAAAAGGTGAGCAGAGCTGGAGCCAACCTAACTTCAGGAGATAGGATCTTCTTGAGGGCAGGTGTAACTACAGAACATGCATGCCCTGACCATGTACAATCAGCAGGATTGTACTGCCTAATGAGAAGGTAAAAACATTGGGTGTAATGCAATCTTTCAGATAGTCCCCATGCTATGTAGGATTTTATAAGTAATAATCAACATCTGAATTGCATCAAATTGGGAGCAGGGCAGTTCATGGAATAAAAGTGTAACATGGGCATAATGAGCCATACTCACAATGCCCTGTGCTGCCACACTTAGGAACAATTGAGGCTTTTAGATGTTCTTTGGGAAGCCCGTGTATAGCACATTGCATAGTCCACCCATCAGGTGACCAAAGAATGAATGCCCAATATTTTCTGATCCAAGAAAGGACAAAATTGATGTGCAATATAAAGGTGTTTCACCCAAAACTAAAGATGGAAATCATTAAGGGAAAGATACTCTTGTTAAAAGCACTGTGAGCCAGGGGTAGGGTTCTACCAATTTGGACCAGTTCTATAGAACAGGTTATAATGATTCTGCGCAGTTCGGAGAACTGAGAAATCGTGCCCCTGGCTGACCCTACCCATCTCCACCCTCCTCTCCTCTCCCCTCCCCACCCAGTCAGTCCTTATTGCGCATGCACAACATTGCGTGCATGCCCGACATCGCTGACTGTGTTCTTCCTAACCCAGTCACTCAAGGTATTTTTTTTTCCTGCCCGATGATCAGCTGTTCCTATGATGAGCTGTGCCGAGATTCCTCTCGCTTACTTACTGCTTCACCCAGGAGGCTTCCCTGAGGCCCAGGAAGGCAAAAACTGGAGGGGGGCATAGCTCCCCCTGCCCCCTATTTTTTTTTTTTTTTTTTGCCTTCGTGGGCCTTAGGGAAGCTTCCTGGGAGCAAAAACACCCCCCAGGAGGCTTCCCTGAGTTCCAGGAGGCCCCAAAATGGGGCATGGGGGTTTGCTGCATGCCCCCCCCATGCTCAGTTTTTTTTTCTTCCTGAGTCCCAGAGAAGCCTTCTGGGAACAAAAGCACCCCCCAGGAGGCTCCCCTGAGGCCCAGAAGGCCCCAAAATGGGGAGGGGGTTTTTTTGCTGCCAAAAAAGCCACCCAGTCACATGGCCATGCCCACATAGCCACACCCACAAAATTTTAATCCCACCCCTGTTGTGAGCAATCCAATTTTGACTTTGGTTCACAAGAGATGTTTGCTGTTAAATACAATGGTTATTAAAGTTAGTTATTGGTGAGTGAAAGATAAAACAGCTAAAAAGTTAAAAGAAAATAAAAGTTGCAGGCACAGATGATATGACAAAATGGACAGTCCTGGAGAAGAGATATCATTCAAGTTCAAGAAAGTAATAACCAGCACATTGAATTCCACCCAGAGGCAAATTGGAAGGTTCCAGAAATGTGCTGAAATGGCAGTCAGTCTACAGAATATAATATATAATTATAATAGTATAATGAACAGTCTAAGCAACTAGACCTCAAAGAAGATTTTTTTTCTTCAACTATCTAGAACTAATATGCAGCTTCTTTTCCCTCCCCGTTTCTCATTCCGTATAAATTGATCATTAGATTATAATTAAATACTTATGCAAGCAGTTAGATATGATTCTCAGCACTTTTAGTATATTATTCTATTATTTTCTATTGTATGAATAAATGTTAAAGTATATGTCTTATGTTATGCTCTGCTGAAAAACTGTTCATATTTTTAGTAAAACAACTTTACAGGTATAGGCTGAAGATTAGGATTTTTAAAAGGTCAAAGACTGGCTCATTATCCTGTCTCAGCTCTACTTTTCACATTTGAGCCACACAAGATGGCTTTCTGAATGCGGATTCAATATGCCTTTTCAGCAGCATGAAGTCACAAAATGAAGCAAAATGATTTATTTTCAATGAAATAACAACCACGTGACTGATTCTATTTTCCTTTCTTTCCTTTACACATTTCTTCCCTTATTTCAATGGAGGGAGGCAAGAACTGTGCTTTGATTTTTGACAGATATAGTGGTAAGCCACATTTTAAAAATTGACAAGTTCAGATAATAACTAAATTAAATAATAAATTAAATAACACAGTCTCGATGTGTTTAATAATTTTTAACTTATTCAGAGTTAGAGTTCCACCAGATTTGGAAGGACTCTGAGGGCTGCTTACAAATCTTTAATAGACCACAAACAGTCTACAATCATATATTATTATATAATGATGGAAGTATAGAATATTGAACAAGCGAACAGATAAGCCACGAAAAAACTCAAATGTTTCTTGCACAATAAGCTTTTGAAGCGAGTTCCAAATAGTTTTGACGGCTGGCTTAGTTCGTATTGGCAGCAAACCAAAGTCCCAGTTTCTAAATTAGATATAGCGGCACGTTTACTCGGAAACCAGCGCAACAGATTTAGGGCTTTCTAGATCAGCATTGTTCACCCTCAGCAACGTTACCATGAGTGGACTTCAACTCCCAGAAATTCCTGGGAAAGCCTTCGTGGCTAAGGAATTCTGGAAGTTTAAAAAGTCTCTCATTTTGACGTTGATATGTTTGGGGAAACCGAAAGGCCAATAGCTGAGAAAAATGTATCGGATTATTTCGGAATCCTCTTGTTCCCTTGACACAGAATCCGGTAAATACGTCTTTGTTTCTATTTGAAACGGGGCATATCTTTCGTATGAAAAATGTTTTCCAGATTAAAAAAGCAAACAAACGCGTGATTCCTCAGGGACTCTCCCAGGGCTTCCATGACTGTGTGATGGGCTGTTTGCTATAAAAGAAAACATATCCATGTTCACACCACCGTTTCGACCAGTTTCCTTTAAAAAAAGTAAAGTGACGAAGCAACAACTCGTTAGGATCCAGAGGAAGAATAAGAGCAAATTTGCAGAGTGGCTCGTTGGTCTAGGGGTATGATTCTCGCTTAGGGTGCGAGAGGTCCCGGGTTCAAATCCCGGACGAGCCCTACTTTTTTAAACTAAAATCTTTTCACGGTTATTTTTAAAAATATAAATTAGTATTTTACAGAAGACTGTGCTTTCGGCTCACTCTATAAATCGTTTTAGCAGGTTTTATTGGACACCAACTGTTATGCGATTCGTTCGCCAGCGACGCTTTTTTTCCTCTTTGCATTATTGATCAATTCATCCTACATGTGTAAGAAAAATAAAAAAGGAAGCCTTATTCGTTTCCCCTTGTTTACTCCGCTGCTTTCCTACGCACAAAATAATACATTGTGAATGCTAAAAAGGTTTTATCAAAAAGGACAGACTATAAACGCAACCTGTCTTTTCGGCAATTCATATAAATGCGAAAATATAAATGAAATTATGCGGAATTTCAAACGTAGCAGTGGTATCCCCGTCAATCCGTTCCCCTCGATTCGGGGAGATTATTTGTATCTTTTGGCATCCGGTCCTTGCTTAATTTGTTTTGATGAAAGATTATGTAAAACATTTTTTAAAAGGCCTTACAAAATACGAAGGAAACGAAAGCACTTCCTCCGACTACGGGCTCGTCCGGGATTTGAACCCGGGACCTCTCGCACCCGAAGCGAGAATCATACCCCTAGACCAACGAGCCGCTCTCAGTAAAATCGTCCTCGGCTGGCTTCTTCACTTTTATCCCGCCCCTCTTATACTGCGCAATCTCCCAAGGGTTGGCTGCTCTGTTAACGCTGCGTTCATTCTTTTGGGGAAACGGTTCCACGTACAGTACTAGTAGCCGTGGCGCTTTGAATTCGCTTCTCGCCTACTTGAAAGATCTGCCGTTTAGCACCCCACTCCCTCACGGAGAACCTTTTCCATTTAAACTCCGTCCCCGCAATGGAGACGTTTTATCCGTTGGGAGAAAGGCTATACCACTTCGCTCTCGACGAGGGGTGGAGGATTTATTTTATTTATTTATTTATTTATTTGATTTGTCAATTGTTTACAAGATAATTTACTTCCTTCTTTCTTCATAAGCCCTCTTTGACATAGCATATAGTAAATGCAGGGTAGGAATCTCTTCATTTCTAATGAAACGATAAGCTTTATGAAGTTTATTTCGGCAAGTCCTTCCCTTACCTCTTCCCTTTATTTTTGGTGAAGTCCTATCCAACTGAGTACCCTCCTCTTTCTAAATAATAGTTTCCAACTTACTTTGTGTGTAAGGCTCCTGTACTTCTAACAGACATGACAATAAGTAAAAGATCCTGAAAATAACTTCATTGGTTTCTGTTTTTTTTTGCGGAGTTTTCTAAGTACAGGAGGGGTGAAGAGAGCAGGGATTAAAAGTGATAAATGTTAGGCGTTACATTCCATCCTCTCAGGTGTCTGTTAGACACATGCATCTGAGAGGATGGAATATAATGCTTAACATTCGTCACTTTTAGTTTTTTCATATCACAAGAAGCATTTAAAATAGCATTTAATTTATTTATTCTGAATGTAGACTATTTTTCCCCAGAAATATCTATTTTCATTTCTTTTCATGGTCTGTAAAATCTATATGATAGTAGGCCTAAGACAGGGGTTTTCAAACTCGACAGCTTTAAGACTTGTGGACTTCAACTCCCAGAATTCCTCCTCCAGTCATGTTAGCTCAGGAATTCTGGGAATTGAAGTCCACAAGTCTTAAACTTGCCGAGCTTGAAGACCTTTGGTCTGACTCTAAGATATGAAGAGGAAGGTGAGTGTCATAGACTCACTTCTTTGATGTAATGCAAATATCTGCTTTTAGTCAGAACTCTCCATCAGCATTTCCCCAATAGCATATTTTCCAGACAGCTTGAACCAACTTCAATAAACACCAGCTGAACTGCATTTTCTGAGAATTATTGTCTATCATCTGTGGAGCACACAATTGTTGGTGAGGCATTGATATCCTTGTAAAAATGGAAGTTTTATCTCATTAGATATAATTAGATATAACCCCTTCACAGCTTTTAACATAAACATTGTAGATTTTTGTGTAATCAGTAAGAAGTGATGGTATGAAAGGCTATGCTTACTTTTCACATGTTTAAACTATTAGTGAATGATCATACAGCATTCATCTCTTAGTCATTTAATCTGTGTGTGTGTTTAGATAAATGTATCTGCTAAAAACACTTCATGGATTTGATGGACTTAGTTTAGGGTACTACAAGTCTTCATTATTCTCTTATTAATTTAGTTGAAACAAATGCCAGAGACCTGTCCTGGTAAATAATTCCCTGTGCCTTACCCAAACCAGGTTCTTCAAATGAAATGTGGGAAGACAACATAGTCCAAAAAAAGATACAGTGATAGCACTGACTTCACAAGTGGATGCAGAATAGGTGGGTTCCATAAAATGTTTCCATCAAAATAGTAGAATATTACATTTCCTTATATTTTGACAGCTACCCAAATGAATTAAAGTCCAAAGATATTTGCAAGAAAACTGGCAACAAGTATTTCACTCATTGACGGGTATTGTAGTTCACTGCATCTGAAGGGCAACAGATTGTGAAAACTTAAAAAAAGATCTAAGATTGTTTGGAGTCATTGTTCTTGTCAAATATGGAGGAGATAGATAGAGAGATAAATTTTAAACACAAGAATAAGACTAATGCAAACTGAAGCAGACTGAAAAAGAAAAGGAGAAAAGCTAAGGGTGCAAAAAGAAAAAAAGTTACAGAAAAATAGGAAAGAAAAAAATATAAAGAAGTGAGTTCTAATCAAGTATAGCATTTAGAAGTACAATTAGAATTGAACTCTCTCTAAAATTACGTTATCACTCTTCTTTCTATCCTATCTAATCTTCAAAACTATACATCTGAAATTCATTTATATGCAAGTTCTGCCATCTTCACCAGCCATTCATCCATTGTAGATATTACTAAATCTTTCCAACTTTGTGCATAGTTATCTCACTACAGTTATCATATATAAAAATATTCCATAATTTTTTCCAACTATCCATCACTCTAAAGAAGAAAAGTTCTAATTTCAGTGGAATGTTTTATTTATTTAATTGCATTCTGCCTGTATTATTTTTACAAATTATTCAAGGCATATTCAGCATACCTTTCTCCTGTTTTCCCCACAAGAACCCTGTGAGGTTTTAATCTTTAAAATCCTCTGAATTAATCTAATGAATCTAATTTTTAAAGCTTTTTTTCAAGTTCACCTTTTTTGTTGTTCACATTTCCAACATAAATTTAAAGTACTTTTATACATTTTAGATAACTTTTCTGGAATCATGCTGTATACCTATGGCCCATCATTTTATAAATATTCTCTTTAAGTTTATAACAGCGTAAATCTCATTCCTTTCAACCACATATTTTCCCATCCTTCCATCTATGTACTGTAACCAAAATTTTTAGTTAACTTTATCATAAGTTCCTTAATTCATTCTTCTGTTTCAAATTTCAATAACAGTTTATAAATTTAATGATCACATGCTCATCATTTGTACTCAATTCTGTTTCAAAATCTGTGTTACAATTTCAGTGTCATACATTCTTTTATTTACTTTAATTCTGATAAATAAAGCCATTGTCAGCCACGTCCCTGTAATATCAGTAGAGACTTGGACCAAAAACTAGGAGAGTTTTCCCCTAATCCTATCTTAAGCATGAAGTCAGCTGGTGACTTTGGGTCAGTCACTTGGTCTGAGCCCAACTCACCTCACAGGATTTTTGTGGTGAAAATACTAAGTATGTTACACACTTAGTATTCATTGCCTTCATTGCTTACAGAATAATAAATGCAGGTTAAAAATCTAAAGAATAAATAAATAAAGTATTCCCAACACAAAATGTCAATGTATAAATAGTCAGAGTGATGTATACTTAACTGCACTACCACTCCTACATAAAAAAAAATGTGTTTCTCATTTACATTAACATCGAGTGAAAACACACAATTCATGTGCATGTATTTGTGAACCATGACTCAATAAACAATACTATTTAATAGATTTTATGTGACAACAAACCATGGTTATCTGATCTTTACAGATGTTCCTGAGAACAGAATACTTTCTGATAAGGAGAAGTATTAAATAAGTGAATATATTGAACAAACATGGACTAATAGTAGCACCAATTAAAGGACAGATTTAGATTTTTTTACTTCATTAAAAGATAATGTCCTTATTATCTTTATATAGTATGTTCAAAATTTAAGATCCTGTGAAAAAGGCTCAGTGCTTCAGTAATTGGTGGCCTTTCTACAGCCTTTGTTCTATAAGAGCAATGATCAAAACAACAGACCATCAACACACATGGGATGTATCTTTGCTGTATGAGGAAGGGACAAAAAGAAACAATCTATATGAAAATATTAGCTGTCTGAATCAAATAATAAATGAATGCACAATAGCTTTTAAGTTTAACAAACACATTTTACACAAATCAAAATTACATTAAAATTCATTTTGCAGAATGACATGGTGCATAGATTATATAAATATTTATATAAAATTACTGTTATCTATGGCAACCAGAAAGCAGTACATACCAGTTTAATTATACAAATCAATAAGAATCTATTATCTCCTTCATACCTACTTGAGAAATTCACAGAATTAAACTGGCCATTTAGTATAAATGAGCATCTTCAACTGCAAAATTGTTTTAATATACCATATTTCTTGAAGCTTTATGATTATTTTTGAAACCACTTCATATTTTTCTTTGAATATAGCTTTTTGGAAGGGATGATAGTCTACAGTGTGCTATCTTCTGAGATCAGCACCATGCACTGTGATAATACTGAGACTTTAGTCACATGAAGGAACTAAACAAGCAATCAAAAATTGTCTGACTCCCTTAGCCAGAAGCCATTCTTTCAGAAGAACATCTGAAAATCAGTTTGGAAAAATTATTTCTTAAATCTTGCTGCAGTACCTAATTTACTCTCCATTCAGAAAATGACGCTATGCTCTCCTTAGATCACTGAGATGCAGAACTATTCTACAGCTGACCAGCACAATGTGCAAAATAATACTGCAGTGAACCATATTCACTTGTCTGTTATACCTATAATGAAAAAGCAATATTTGCAGACCTAGGCATAATCCTTCCAAATAGCTTACTTTATTCATACTGATAGTTATATGCTTTCATTCTTCAGTCACTCCAAGCAGAACTGTGTGAAGTTCAGTAATGCATAATAAACAGCAAATGTTCAGCTTGTTGCTCTCTTATTTGTTGATTATGTTTTCTCCCCATTTGACATTTCAGCCATTATTACTTATAGATACCATGTTTAACTAAAAGTTGCATTTCTAAAACAGGTCTATCTAATGGGGGCATGATTCAGTGCTACCTATTTTATTTCTATTCTATTCCTATTTCCTAAAATAATTGGAGATGTCTACTTAAGCAATTGCTATAACTGGCTTCTTAAAGAGAACAGCAGACTTTTCAAGATGCAGGTTATTTTGACAAGTGAAACTGAAAGATGCTATTGCTTGTCAATTCAGTAATAGATGTTTTAAAAGACATCAGAAAGATGTAATGTACATTATAAACAACTCTTTTCCTTTTTTAAAAATATGAACAATCAAAGGAATTAGATAAATAGCACAAGAGGCTCAAACAATGTAACATTCATGTATAAAAATATCCAAATAGCCACACATTTAATACACATATCATGTCAAGCTATGGTTTCACTATTCTTTGCTAAATAAGTCATATAACTGAGTTTGCACATGCTAAACGATAAGCCATGGCCTATTTATCACAATAGCTTAGCAATCATGTGGCTGAATCTGTTTACTATTTTGCTGAATCCAGCCATAGCTTTCTCCTGTGCTTAATAGCAAACTCAGAAAAACTCAACAGATATGAAATGTCACAAATCAGGTTCTTTTTTTTTTTTTTTGGGGGGGGGGGGTGTTGCTTTGTCACATATACAAATTATTCCACAGCCACTAAACAAACCAGAAGAGGCTGAGTTTTTGGTGCTTCTGTGCTGACTCTATGTATGCAGTATATGTATGCAGTATAATTATAGCTCACAGGCCAGAAATGGTTTGGAAATGTCAACTTTAATCAGAAAGTGTAATTAATATGGATCATAGTCCTTTCCATTAAAAAAAAAACACCCAGCAACTGTTGAAATACAATAGATAACAATCTCCAAAACGTGCTTTTGGCCTCTCCACAAGTTTGAGAAACTTAAGGAGCTCAGTGAGGCTGCTGCCCATCACAGATGTCCTGATTTGTTTCAACAAAAACTTAAGAATTGCCAGCAGAAAGTAATAATTCATGTTTCTTTGGTTTCTTATTTAAAGAAATAGTTTATTTCTTTATAAACTATTATAAACTAGAAATAGTCTATAAGCATGTATTGTAATAGGAACTCTAATAATTGGCTTTCCATTTATCATTATATTAGCACCATATCCTAGAGTTCAGAATAGTTTCATATCTGCAGTAGGTTGTGAAGTCCCAGTATCTTGTATGCTAGATTCGTGATGTGAATCTTTACTTCCATTTATTTTTTCCTCCCTTTTTTCTTTATAAGTGTTTTCCATGTCGGTAGCATTACAGTTCTGTGGTTTTCTTTTTGTATCTTCTGCAGTATCAGTATCTGCATTCTTCTCTTTCTCATTGTTCACGGTCTTACTTGGCCTTTCCTCTGAAAGATTCTGCTGTGTCTTGTCTTCCTGGCTCTCTTTGAATTTTGCAACTTTTTCTGTATCCTCTTCTTTCTCTTTGTTTTCTGATCTACTAGATTGTAGATCTGATGGGGATTTTTCATCAGAAGCTACTTGATTTTGTTTCTTCTGATAGTCTATGCCACCCACAGGGTCAGATGAGAATTTCATGCATTTATTGTCTATAAATACATCTACTTCCTCCTTCTCCTCAGTTTTGGAACCATTTTCCTGAGGTAAATCTGTCCCTCCTAAATCTAGGTCATCTCCATATTCTGACTGTGATTTTCGAAACCTTCTAGATGGAGGTCTGCGCTTTATTGATCCTCGTGTCCTTACCTGAAAGTGGATAAAGCTGTGATTGAAATAAGGACATGATCCAGACCAGACATCACTAAAAACAACCAACTGAACTGCATTTATTCCTCTATTAGTTATTCATCATAAGATTAATTTTTGGCATTACCATTTCTTTCACATCAAAGAACATATGATTGTTCCTTAGCAAAAAGTGAAGTAGTAGTCTAATATTTTTTCAGTGCCAACTAGCATGTTACAATTACTTTGGTCAATGTTTTTGTGGATAAGAAATATGATCCTCTGGTCTCTTCTAACGTGAAGATCACCATCTTTATGATGATGATAACTGTGGTTATTTAAAATCTGCCAGATTTTTAAATTTAGTCTATTTTTAAAACAAACATTGGGCAGAAGCTCCAGGATTTTCTTTATTTGTTCACCAAAACAATGATTTTGAGTGGAAGAGTAGAAACAGTAAATGAATATGGTATTGCTGATAAAAGGAGAAAAGGATGTGACCCAAAGGCCAATACTTTATGAGTTGATATTTCTTTAAGAAATCAATAACTTCAGACCTTCTCTCCTTTTCTTAAACCTTATCTTATTTTGTTCCATCCATGCAGTTGATATTGTCATGAATCTAGAGATTTGGTTACTTTGCCCAAGCTGGAGTTTAAATAGATAGATTACTGCAGGATCACTCTTCAGAGTAAGCATGCATAAAGAAGCAGATAGATTAAAATCCAATATCAGTTTCAGTTAGTGAAAAGGCAGGCCATAGAAGAGTCATTTAGAGATGCTTAAGAATAGAGGAATCTAAGTAGGACTATCAGGTATGGGGGGCTTGTGAGTGTAGGGAGTCACCAAAGTCAAAATTAGATCATCTGAAAGGAACCCCAAGGAAAGCTGGATGGCTAGCAATGGGAGCTGGGAAGCAAAGTGAACAAAAGAAGAAAGAAAAATCTGTTAGTGTTGTAAGTATATATACACTGCTCAAAAAAATAAAGGGAACACTTAAACAACACAATGTAACTCCAAGTCAATCACACTTCTGTGAAATCAAACTGTCCATTTAGGTAGCAACACTGATTGACAATCAATTTCACATGCTGTTGTGCAAATGGAATAGACAACAGGTGGAAAGCAGAGGCAGTTAGCAAAACACCCCCAATAAAGGAGTGGTTCTGCAGGTGGTGACCACAGACCACTTCTCAGTTCCTATGCTTTCTGGCCGATAGTTTGGTCACTTTTGAATGCTGGTGGTGCTTTCACTCTAGTGGCTCAGGTAGTGCAGCTCATCCAGGATGGCACATTAATGCGAGCTGTGGCAAGAAGGTTTGCTGTGTCTGTCAGTGTAGTGTCCAGAGCATGGAGGCGCTACCAGGAGACAGGCCAGTACATCAGGAGATGTGGAGGAGGCTGTAGGAGGGCAACAACCCAGCATCAAAGGACCACTACCTCCTCCTTTGTGCAAGGAGGGACAGGAGGAGCACTGCCAGAGCCCTTCAAAATGACCTCCAGCGGGTCACAAATGTGCATGTGGCTGCTCAAACGGTCAGAAACAGACTCCATGAGGGTAGTATGAGGGCCCGACATCCACAGGTAGGGGTTGTGCTTACAGCCCAACACCATGCAGGACGTTTGGCATTTGCCAGAGAACACCAAGTTGGTGTTTGTCACTGGCGCCCTGTGCTCTTCACAGATGAAAGCAGGTTCACACTGAGCAAATGTGACAGACGTGACAGGGTCTGGAGACACCGTGGAGAACATTCTGCTGCCTGCAACATCCTCCAGCATGACCGGTTTGGCAGTGGGTCAGTAATGGTGTGGGGTAGCATTTCTTTAGAGGGTCGCACAGACCTCCATGTGCTCGCCAGAGGTAGCCTGACAGAGGTACCGAGATGAGATCCTCAGACCCCTTGTGAGACCATATGCTGGTGCGGTTGGCCCTGGGTTCCTTCTAATGCAAGACAATGCTAGACCTCATGTGGCTGGAGTGTGTCAGCAGTTCCTTCAAGACGAAGGCATTGATGCTATGGACTGGCCCGCCCGTTCCCCAGACCTGAATCCAATTGAGCACATCTGGGACATCATGTCTTGCTCCATCCACCAACGCCACGTTGCACCACAGCCTGTCCAGGAGTTGGGGGATGCTTTAGACCAGGTGTGGGAGGAGATCCCTCAGGAGACCATCCGCCACCTCATCAGGAGCATGCCCAGACATTGTAGGGAGGTCATACAGGCACGTGGAGGCCACACACACACTAGTGAGCCTCATTTTGACTTGTTTTAAGGACATTACATCAAAGTTGGATCAGCCTATAGTGTTTTTTTCCACTTTAATTTTGAGTGTAACTCCAAATCCAGACCTGCGTGGGTTGCTAAATTTGATTTCCATTGATAATTTTTGTGTGATTTTGTTGTCAGCACATTCAACTATGTAATGAACAAAATATTTAATAAGAATATTTCATTCATTCAGATCTAGGATGTCTTATTTTTGTGTTCCCTTTATTTTTTTGAGCAGTTTATATTGATTCATGTAATGATAGCAAGTTAAAGGAAGTCGTACATTTAAAGAAATGTCAGTCTCACAATCATGTGTACATTAAGCTATATGGAAATTCCACATATTCAAATCTGAGGAATGTTGTTCTATATGGCTGTCATATGCCTAACAATAAAAAAATGATATTCTAACATTTCCTCCTTTTAAAAAAGTTTTCAGGACAGAATTCAGGAAGCTATTTTATACTAAGAACATCCCATGTACTTCAAGAGTATATTTTTTAAATCAAAACTATGCAATGTACAGTACTGTTGTAAAATTCAACAAATAAAATTAATATTCCAGTCAAATGATCTTGAAATTTTTCTTTAAAAATAATTACTTATTTACTTCAATTAGTTAACTGTTACTTGATTAAAATTCTTTGTGATCTGTTTGAAAACTGCTATAGCTGTTCATTGACTCATTTTACTTCATGTTCATGTTCTGATGGTATTACATTTTGAGAGATCTCCTTCCCCACTGACTTTTTTCTTTCCTTTTCATCTTTAAATTGTCAATATTATATCTTACCTTATTATAAAACTGAAGATGAGTACCTTCTGGTGGCTGCTCAAAACTAACTGGAGATTCATCAGGAATACTTGAATGAGTCTTTGGACTGAGAGGGGTGACTGGTGGACTATTAAAGGGAGACACCATTGCCTTTAGTCCAGGGCTTTTAGGAGAAGCTCCTGGCAGCATAGAAGTTGGAGCAAGTGCCAAATTAGCCTGTTAAAAAAATGAATCATAAATAAGTATTTTCACTTTCTTCCCAATATTTGAAACCTTGCCTTAATATTACTTTATCTATTGCTGAAGTCAATTAGTTTATAGAGCACACTTAATATTAGAGAAACAGAGAGATTCCTAAATACTTAATAAGGATATCTGCCAAGGAATGACATACTGTACTGTATATGTTTTTTTTTTCTGGAAGAATTGTAGCACCTTTGCCAGCATCCATTAAGAAGAAAGTAACATTCAGGGGTGAACATGGAACTTCGAAACTGCTATCAACTTTATTATTTTGTGGGGTGGGATTAATCATGTTTATGTTCTGAATAAAATAAGCAATTTTTTAAAAAAAGGCAAAAATGTTTCAGCAATGGCTCTATAGAAAATATAAAATAGTATCCAGCTCTGTGGAAGAAAAAAAAATAGGAAAGGGGGGAAGTGGGAGAAAAAAGATGTAGTCTATGGAGATATTATTGATCATCTCTGAACTGCCAAGGAATTATTGGAGACCCTCTATAGTTCCCTATTAAAGGATAGGAAATAATTGGAGGTGAAGAATGACTCAAGGGTATTGTCAGATATTTCATTATGGAAGAACAACCCACTCCTAATAAATAAAATGACATACACAAAAACCAAAGAAAACATAAGCCAAGATTCTGAACATATGTTCTATTAACAGTCAAGAATACTGGATATAAGACTATTCAAAACATTCTAAAGAGAAGCTTCCAAAAGTACATTTACATAGCACCTATATTGTCCCATATCCAAACAACAGAGAATAGCTTTCAAAGCAGCTGTGTGAGCCTTACAAAAAAAGGAAGCAGTTTCACAATGTCCTCTTTTGAATGCAGGCCTAAGTGGAACTTAGAGTGGAGGCAGCAGCTTGAGGATGAGAGAAATAATTGAGCGAAGAAGTCTGAAAGGGAAAGAGCCCCTTCTCATCAATAGTTCACATGACATGGCAATCTGATGTAATATTGTGATGGATTCCTTCTGTATAGATAATTGACCAAATACAGTTGTGAGGTAAGAACTATACAATCCACACAAGAGGACAGTAACTTTCCTTCATCCCCAAATTAATAACAAATTATGATGAGAGAACCCTCAGCATTTTTGGAACAGAAATGGGAAGCACTTGTACATGGGCAGCATTACCAAGAAGCCTCCTGGAATATAGGACAATAGCAGATAAAGAGGCCAGAGAAATGAAGAACATGACACAATTCCATAATAATAAATTGCAATTCCATAATCTTTGTCCTTGTTCATATTGTTGGAGAAACAGCAACAGCTAAACCTCAGGGACGTGAGAAAGAAGACAATATTGCCTGCCCAAGAGGAAGGATTCCCGCCTCTGTCCTGAAGAATGGGAAGTAGGTGGGGGGATGATTGGAGACTCCTTGCTGAGAAGGCGCAATCTGTTGGCTGAATAATGCACTCAGAAAAACATGCTGCCTTCCTAGGGCACACATTTAGGATGTGATGAAAAGCTTTCAAAGACTGAACACCTGTTGACACATTCCCTTTTGTTGATTCACATGGGAACAAATTACACAGTTAAACAGGCAATGGAGGGGCAGCAAAGGATTATGAAGAGTTGGACATGAAAGTGAAAGAGATGGTATTTTTTCACTCCTTCCTGTTGAAGGAGATGACTTGGGAAGACAGAAGAATACTGGAATGAACAACTAACAACAGAGATGGTCCAATAGGAACTATTTGGATTACGAGATAATGGGTTGTATTTACAAAATAAACAATTTCTGCAAAAGGTAGGATGTATCTCACAAGAATTGAGAAAATTGTTTTTAGAAGGTGCCATGCAAAGCAGATTCAGAGGGCTTTAAACTGAGTCCCTTGGAGGAAGCAAAAGAAAACTCTAAAAATAGTGTAACCTCTAGCCCTGGAAATTCAACTGCAAGGAGTATGTGAGACACAGAGGCATCCGATATATTAGGTGTGGTTAGATTAAGTAAGCTTTCCAGCTGTTTCTATACAATTGCAGAGTATGGAGAACAATTTGTTGTGTTAATTAAACAATCGTGTTGATTTTATCTGGGCTGCTGTACATATTATTTATTTATTATAATATTTTTATCTTGCTTTTAATAATTGTTAGTCACCAGAGTCATGCATTTGAGATAGGCAGTTTATGAGAAGGAAGGAAGAGAGGATGGTTTCTGGCAGGATAGAATGCATGAGTGAAATTAACAAATAGAATGTTATTTACTATAATATGCCAGATGAAGGATTGACATTATATGTGAAGAAAGTACACACATGTATTAAGATCCCAGAGTTTGAATATGAATGGCTAATTGATGGCATAGGTAAGAATTAAAAAGGGAGAGGGGTAAGGATTTTACTATAGGATTATTGCAAAGTCAGGCAAGAGATCTGGACAATGCAGATTTAAAAACATTCAGGCTTTCAGCTATGAAGACAATGCAGATTAAAAAACATTCAGGCTTTCAACTATGAAGACATCTGTTAGAAAACCAATTCAGCCAAGGCTATACAGTTCCCAAAAGTCATTAGCTGTCCTGCTGATTTTGTTTCTTGTCTTATATGTGTTTCTTAAAGGAGAAACAGGAGACTTGGCTCTTCTGATTTTAATAAATAAAAAACTGCTGGCTGAAGAGGTAAAAGCAGTGGGAACATACCATATCACTTTTGCTTTAAGATACTACAAAAAGAAAAATTGGGGGGAAATTGTACATGGATATCAGATTTTAGAATATCCAGTTTTAATAAACTTTTCCAAGTGGTTAATAGAATCCCACAGACAAAAATTCTCAAGTCAAAAAGAGTTGATTGAGTGATTACATAACATCAAATTATTGTTGAGTCTTAGCAACTACATTTTCTCAGGAAATGCATCTATCCTTAGGCTGGTTTTTTAGGTTTTACAGGAGAGTTAGGAACTTCTAAAAAGTAATGTACTGGATATACAGTTACCACCATTCTAAAGTGAGAAAAAAGTAGGGGATGGTTTAGGAAATAATTGTGAATACATAGTGAATTTTGACAGAGCTGAGAGTTAAAAGGGATGTTTACAAAATGGCAACTGAGACATGATAGCTAAATAGGCTACAAGTAAGCAGTAATTATTTGTGTAAAGAAAGTCAGAAAGGAACTTAGATTTGCAAGGGATGCTAAAAGATTAGTTTGCCAAGAAAAAGGAAGAAGGCAAGGGCTACTGCTTGGGGACATAGGATAGTAACAAACTTTGGAAAGAAGTAGAACTTGACATTTCTGACTTTACTTCAATTTTCTGTGCAAAGGAGAACTATGTTTAAATGGATCTAAATGGAACAAGTGGAAGATATCATATCTAAATATGGCAGTGAAAATAAATGTTTTATTATTTATTGCACATGGTAATGCTTTATTGACGCTCCTAATGAACTTGTCCTCATTCACAATCCAAATCAGAATGAATTTTTGGATGCTGTTAAGTTAGAAATACCTTTCAATATCTTGTTAATTTTTTTCATATATGATTTCTATGATGGCCTATTAACAGGCTTTTGGAAATCATTGCTGTTGTAATATTATAATCACAAGAGGGAGCTCTTGTGCTTAAAATATCTGTTTCACCAACCACTGTATCTAATAGTGACAATGTCAACAAATAATTTGGGGAAGAGCAGTGGTGTAGAATAGCTGCCTTTCCAAAACATCTGAATGTAGACACTATTCTTGTATGTTGGCTCAAGCCTTATAGATTTTCTAGCATCTCAGCCAAGAAAATACATCAACAGTGGCTTAGTATCAAAGAAAGGGTGAACATGGCCATAATATCAACAGATTTAATTCTTTATATTCAAGATGGTCTTAAATTCACTATTTCAAGTATTGTGAGACAGTCCTAATATAAATTGTGACAGCATAGCATAACAGTGTTGGAGGGGACTTTGGAGGTCATCTATTCCAACCCCCTGCTCAAGCAGGAGACCTATACTAATTCTGACAAATTTCCAGTCACTTCTTAAAAGCCTCCAATGGTGGTGCACCCACAACTTCTGAAGGCAATTTGTCCACTGGTTGATTGTTTTCACTGTTGGGAGTTTTAGTTTGTTTCTGTCCTTGATTCATTTTCATCAAATAATTGTTTCCAATTCCAACCAATCCAATTATTGGATGGAAACTTGATAAGCTTCTCTCAGCATACAGCTGAACAAATGCAGAGAAAATATGCAATCTTTTCTCACTTTTCCACTAACTTGGAGCTAGTCTGTCTCACCATGTTGGATATGGGCATTTGTACTGTGTAAAATTTCAGTATACTCCTTCCATCTTCACTGATATCCTTTAAAAATCAATTTGAAGTTGAACTACATTTTTCCTTCTTACATTTCCAGCTGATGATTTCATGTTGAATTTGACCATAAAACCAGGGGTGAGATTCTACTGGTTCAGACCGGTTCTATAGAACCAGTTGTTATGATTCTGCGCAGTTTGGAGAACTGGCAAATCATGCCCCTGGCTGGCCCTGCCTCAATGGTTGGAGTTAAATCTGAATAACCATCTTATTAAAGAGCTGTCCAGGAAGTCTAATTGATATTATTCTGTATTTGACTATATTGAATCTGTGGGTTTTTTTTTGTCCTGAGTAATAGTCAGCATTATGATATTCTGAAATTACATTCCACTTCAATTTGCTGATGCCTAAGATGTCCATGTGTAGTCAATGTATTTCATTTTTACTATGTTGAGCGTTCCTATGTTCATGCTTCTTACACTCCGTATTGTCGCTATGGTTTTGTCTTTACAGCTTTGGGTTTTTTTTTCCTGCATGACATCAACAACTAGAAGTTCCAAATGTTTTAACTATTAATGCTTTAAAAACATTAAGAAAGGAGCAGTGATGCAATCAGATCTTACCTGCATTTTTTCAATGAGAGGAGAACTTTTGGGCTTTATCCTTATAGGACGAGAAGCATTTGGGGATGGTTTCTGTAAAAAGAGAAATAAGAAACAGAGTCGCATGAAACAGCCACCTTTTGTTACTTTCCAAAAATCTTTGGTGTTTAGTTGATTCATTTTTAATTATTAAATTTTCTTTATTATTAAGTATAAAAAATCTCTAAGAAAATATTGTTATCAATACAAGTATCCTTGAGGAACCTTCCTTGGGAAGGACTATAATCCACAAAAGAAAAATATGTATATATTAGATATAAATATAATCATAATAAATGATACAACAGATGGTATTAAGATTGTAGGGTCTTATCAGGACTAGTACTGTCATATTCTTACTAGACATTTGACCTCATAATAGAGATCAACTGAAGGGATTCAGAAATTAGAGAGCTAACTAACCTAAAAGGTTAGTTCCTATTGCCACCATTGCTTGGCTACCCTTCTCCAATTTTTATTGACTTCTTATCTGGGATGAAATGAGGTCTTGGAAGAGATTGATAGTGAAGGCCCTTTTGGATGGGGGATTCTTATGCATTCTTGTACTTTTACTGCATTGTCCTTGCTTTTTCATTATAAACCCTTGAATTGGTGGTTGAAATTGATAAAATAAATAAATGGTAATGCAGAGCTTATTCCCTGGCTATAACTTCTAATGCAATAGCTAAATGTTACTAGTGCTGCCATTATGGACAGGTGTGATATTATTCAGATGGCAGGGTCACTGAATAGAAATATACTATTTAAATAATAACAACCTTCTGCAATTACAGCATTCTTTAGATGTCTAGATTGCAACATCTATGTTTCTCAGCATTGGCCATGGGGGACTTATGGATTCTGGAAATTGACATACACACATTTGGAGAGTATCTAGATTGGTTCTGAGCCATCACTAACACTGTTGCCACAGATTGATATACCCATCATTTAATACAATGTAATGGAGTTACTGAAGTAATCTAGCAGAAACTAGATTACTCTTCCATCAGAATTAATGGAAAGTAAATGTAAAGAAAGGGCTAAACAAGGAGTCACTAAGAGACTAGATATTGTTAAAAATAAATGTTATATGATTTGAGATTATTTGAAATGAAGAAATGTTGTAAGGAATATTTATATGTTTGTATATCAAAAAATGAAATTAAAGTGGGTAGTATAATTGTTTCCATCTAATAAAAAATGAATGGAAAGCCAGTAATAGATGCAGTGAGATTACTGAAAATGATAAGATGTAAATGATGCAAGTGGAGAATGATAAAATATTTAAGGTTACTATGGCTATGTGACTTTCTAATCTAAATATACTGTATGTGTGTAGACTGCATCTGCACATGGCAATTGGAAGACTATTATTAATCCCAAATAGGAAATGTATGAAGAGAGAATGCAAAACTATAATGAGTATATATTGTATATATGGAATAAGAAGCAGATATAGGAAACGTTAACTAGTTAACTCTAATGCAGTTAGTTAGAAAAACTCTTGACAAATTTATATCTCTTTACGAAATATATGTCTCCTTCTTGCTTTTCCCCAAACCACAGGAAAAAGGCTGTTTCGAGAGGAATTATCCGAAGAAAAGAGAGAGAATGTGGTATCAGAAAGAGGAAAAACAGGTGATACTGCTTATTTTGGTCAATAAGCCCTATCCTCTATTTGCTTCAACTCCTACTATCATCCACAAAGAAATTATCTATTTCATGGGAATTCAGTGCTTTTGTTTTGACTGACCTACTATCAAACATCTTACTCTCATGATTCAATGTTAGTAAAAACAAATTATATCTATGTGCTCATACCTGCTTTGTTTGGAAGATGTAAGCTATATTTTGGATATATTTGCTTTTGGATTTTACATCGATGTTGATCTTCAACTAGAAACATGTAAATTATCTAAAGAGGTTGATGTTCAGTTTACTAGTAACCATATATATGATCAGTCTGATAATCATATATGGCAAATGAATAGCGATGCCTGCTTTTGTCTACATGGATTATGAATCTGCTGGAAGCCCAACTCTTCTTGGAACGTGACAACCAATAGGATGGTTTCTTTTAGAAACATACAAGCATATTTACACAACATAGTTTCAGCTGTTTCACATCGGGAGGCAAGCAAGAACTCTGTAGTTACAGAGCTTGGTTAGATAGAATCATGTTCCATGATGTAAAGAAATCACTACCATGTGCCACTCCAAACACCTCTATAGCAATTGCAGCATTTCAGCTTTAGAATTCTTGTTAATATCTTATAAAAGAAGTACAATTCAGTTTGTTTAAAATATTGATACTTACTAGCTCACCATTCTGCCCTAGCTCCATCTTATTTGTGTGGAGGGGAAGAGAGCAAGGTGGCTTTCTGCGTGCTGGTTTAGGAGCTGGGACCTAAAAATAGAGGAAAACTTATGAAAAATAAAGAGAAAAAAGGTAGATATGAAAAGTACATATGTAACATTGGTTCTTTAAGGAATGCTCAAATCTGAGTATATACACAAAGTTGATGGGATGCCCCAATGTGCAAACTGAACTTCCCTTTGTAGTTACATTATCCCTACCTCCTTTCCAGAAATCGATGACTGCTCTTGAAATTTTCCAGCTAGTTGGGCCACAGATGGAGTTGTGGGCTTTTCCACCACCATCTTGGTCTCTAACAGTTTGTCCTGAAAGAAAACCAGAAATAAAATGTTTCTCAGTATAAGAAATAGAGAGGTAAAAAGTTGATAAAGCTAAAACTTTTATTGTTAAAACAAAAACCTTAGTGCTATGTAGCATTTATCTTGATGGCCAAATTATCTCAAGTTTTGTTTTACTACATGAACATTTTAAGAAATAATATATTCAAATCTTTTCCTATTTTAAGGAATAATAAATGGTGGTAGGCAATTCTTTCTAATATCTTGTATGAATGCTACCAGCATGAATATTGGTTTAAATGTCATTTTTTTTAACCTGACAACTCTTTCCCCAAATTTACTTACTAACTCATTCCATTACTGTTAGAGTAAATTTCATTGGCAAGATTAACAGCATTGTTGTTGCCGTTGATATTATTTTTAGAGGAAATATGGATTTATTTGAAAATAGATGCTGGAAAAAGGAACAAAGAAGACACTTTGGAGTGTATTTGGACTGGTGAGCCATTCAGCTGAGTTGAATACTGATAGATGGAAAGAGGCTTAGGTTTAAAAAGAGGAAGAAGTTGAGAAAAAGAAATAAGTGGCTGGGAGATCATCATCATGGAAAGGACTCATTCAGCTAATGGATGTTAATAGAAAGAGGTATAGCTGCTATCACATACAGGATTAAAAAGGCAAAAACCTGTGAAGTAGTCAGAGTTATAAAGTTTGTGAATAACAGAAGAGTTGTTATTGGAACAGAAGCTTTCTAATTCTGCAGATACAGTATACCATATATTGTTCAGGATGGGGTTCACTTTTCCTGAAAGAACAATTGACAATGCTTTCTTCAAATAAAATCTTCCTGTTCCACATAGTCTAGTTAGGACAAAATGCTGTTGGTTGGGATCTGGAACACAACCTTCTTAATGTGGGCTACTCCTTCTGGAATATCTCTTGAAGTCAGAATAGCCCTCCTATTTTAGGAGAATGAAAAAAAAATTGTTGTAAGCCTCTTCTTCAGAGCTTTTGGAAAAGATCTTTAGTTGGAGAAAAACTATGGGCATATTTTTATTTAATATATAGTGTATATATAGTGCTTTAATATGTTAATATTAGCCTGAGAAGTAGGTGGGGAACCGATATAATTTGACGATTTCAAAGCAGAGTCAGATTATGTAAAGGAAAGGTTACAAGTATGCTAGTTAAATCCACAATTCTCTCCATGGTATCCCATAACTCTAGTCATGCTACAGTGGTGGGATTCAATTTTTTTTTTACTATCAGTTCTGTGGGTGTGGCTTGGAGGGTGTGGCAGGGGAAGGATACTGTAAAATGTCCAGTCAGAGGTGGTATTTGCGGTTCTCCGAACTACTCAAAATTTCCGTTACAGGTTCTCCAGAACTGGTCAGAACCTGCTGAATACCACCTCTGTCATGCTAGCAATCTCATGGTCTTCTTTGATCAGTAGACCAAAAGATAAAGTTATCAGGATACCAGGATACCACACATTTAAATAGTGTTTAAATTGTTTTGTAGGGTAAATTAATTATGTGCAGGAAACAACAGGCAAGCTGCAGTATAACTGAATAATTTTGGTTTGTGGCCACTAGAATAAGGAGCCATGTTGAGGCAATTTTTTTTACTACAAAATATATTTCTTCACTTATTTCTCCATTTTTGATTACAAAATGTATTTCTTCACTTATTTCGCCTTACACAGTAAGGCTGTGTAGATAAAGTTGATTTCTGAGTATGATAATTCTGCATGCTGAAATAAATATAAGGACACTCAGTGTGCACAGAAACTCTACATAGAGACATGCAGTGTTCTACCCAAGGAGTATTAGGTGTAACAATAGCTCTCATGTGGTCATGAGAATGGGCTGAATGCTGTGAGAAATAAAGTAGTTATATTTATTTATTTTCAAGGATATCAGGCTGTCAATATAATTTGAAAGCAATATACAAATAAGACTGAAAATAGAATTTGATTTCTTTCATTATATAACAGTATCTTCTATGGGTACAATGGAGTAATTATAATGAATTGCTGAGTATTCTACACCAATTGTAAGGTTGTATTGATTTGAAATAAAACTTAAGTGGATGTATTTTGGGTACAGACTTAAGAGTTAGCTTTATAGCTTAAGCTATATCCAGACAATTCACATAAATATTAGTTGTATGTTTTGCAAACCAAGAATGATATTTATGGAAGTTAGTCATCTTATTTAGAGGTATTTTAATATATTATGGTAGTTTCTTTCATTTTGTAGATTATTGTGTGTGTGTATTTCAAAAGGTTAGAGCAACTATATATTTTTGTTGTAAATTGTTTTGGAAGTCTATGAAAGTTTTATATGTTACTTGGTATCTCTTTTAAAATATCTGAGCAACTATACTATTTTCTCAATTTATAAGTAAAGGCATCTGTTTGGTTAGGGAAGGGAGAACTCCAGTAGTTCTGAGCATTCCAAGGGCTGCCACAACATTGCAGAAAATACATAGTGCATTAAATTCCCCTCTTGCATTGTTCATGACAGGTTTCTATGATAGTTGCCATGATAACTGTGCAACTCATCACTGCCTCATTTTACCATGGTTCTAGAAAGGACACTAGGAGTCACAACTATTGAACATGTGCTTCATTTGAAGACCTGTCCATTCCAAGTCCAGTTGAGAGAGAAATGTTAAAGAGGATTTGAATTGCACAGCAACTCTTTGTGTCCAGAAGACAGACTGAACATGTCCTCTTGATGTAATTTCCCACTATGGTGAGATGTATCTAAATTACAGCCAATATTTCTAAACCCGTATATGTATAGTTTGAATGTTATGCAACTCTGTGCAATTTTGTTCTTTCTGGCAATCTATGTCTCTTTTCTGGAATGATGCTTAAACAGCTAACTTAAGAACCATACAGAATAGGTTTGAATTATCATAATTGTACTATAATGCCTAATATTAGAGATGAACAAACAACTGCTCACCCTCTGCTGTAGCAATAAGTAGCATCATACTATAAGTCCACCACTGCTGGGATTCAAATTTTTTTACTACCGGTTCTGTGGGCGTGTTTGGTGGGCGTAGCTTAGTGGGTGTGTCAGGGGAAGGATACTGTAAAATCTCCATTCCCTTCCCACCCCACTAACCTGCTTTCCAGCTCCGTTCTCCTGTGCAGGGCAACAAAAGAAGACCCAGCTGATCAGCTGGGACTTGGGAGGCAGAGTATAGATGGGGGCGGGGCCAGTCAGAGGTGGTATTTGCTGGTTCTCCAAGCTACTCAAAATTTCAGCTACCAGTTCTCCAGAATTGGTCAGAACCTGCTGAATACCACCTCTGAAGTCCACCCATGCTGATAATCATAGTAAAGGTTCTTTCACTTAATTTACAACAACAACAATTACTACTATTACAGAAGAAATGGTTCATTCAGTTACATCTGTGATTTCAGGCAGGAGATACTCTTAATTAACTTGAAATTAACTTGTTCTTATGATAGACAAAGACTTTACCTTTATTAGAACTAAACTTTTGGTGATCCTTTAGGGTTACTACTATCTGTCTAAAATAAGTTAAGATATTTTATCAAAAGTGAAGGAATAGAAAAAAGAACAAGTTGTCATTGTTCTCAAATATATGATTTCAGTTTAAAGAAGAAAGTGCAAATAAAGTTGATGGAATATCAAGGAATCAGCCCTGCGCAGAAGGAAGACGGTGAATTATCAGAGCCTTTATTCAGACTGTTTTTTTTCTTCACAAGTTGAAGTATGGAGTCAAACACAGCAGAAATTACTCAGGAAGTGGGTGTGTGAAGCTTGTTTTGGCCTGTTGATTATTTCCATAGAAGGAAATTCCACAATGTCTGTTCTGATTGAAAGCATGGGAGCAAGCTAGGCCCCTTGCTCAAGAAACAAAACAGGCTAAGAGATAAGTAAACAAATGGCTGCAGTTCTAAGTACACTAATCTCCTTTTTCCAATGAGCAACTTTTTTTTTCCAACTTGCTTTATTTTCCCTCTTGCTCTGCTATATTATGGTGCTGGGAAGTCTACTAAAATCTGCAGAATTATATTGACCTTACATCTACTAAAAAGCCTTCCACTGATTTTAAGAAGTAGCTGTAAATATCTGAAGTTTAAAAAGCAGCAAACTTTCTTTGTGTTTCCCTATAGTTCTCTCTTGAAGAGGTGAAATAAGAAATAGTATGGACCCCATTTACCTTAATTGTAACAACATACAGATTCCTGCCTTTAAAGCTGGTAATAGTTGTCACCTAAAGGTTTGTATTTTTTATTATCTATAAATTGACAATGTTTAGGTTAAAACCGATCTTGATTCAGTGAATAGAAAGGCAATTATGTGACAGGGATCAATGCCTTCTTAGAATGACTGAGGGTGTACTTAAGCAAGTTTCTTCTTACTAAAGGACAATTGGGGCTTAATAGGAACATAATCAATCCCTATTCAAGAATTCATTTGCCTGGGATGAATGAAATTCAATATGGCAGCTCTTTTTTAGAGAAAAAATTCTTTCAAAATTATATTAATATTAAACATGAGATTTTAGGAATTCATATATCAAATTTTCTTTCCAAGAACTGTGTAGGATTATTGCTTTCAATTTTTGAAGGAACAAGATGCAATAACCAAACTGGGAAAATGAAAACTACTATTTTAATATGGGCATAAATTGATGGTGATTTTCTACCTGAAAGAAAAGCAGAGTGATGTGAGAGACAAAATTTGCTCTGGCAACAAACAAAGCAAATGCAAGACTGCCTTGCACAGCTTCTCTCAAACAATTTACAGGAAACATCTGTGACCTGCAGGAAGCCACAAAGATAAAAACAATTGACCACTTTTTCAGTTGAACACCAACAATCTATACCAATTGAATAGTTAACAATATTTCTTGTCCAAAAAAAAAAAGCTTTCCATTTAATTTCTTCTCTCCTTGCTTCTGTGACCTCTTTGCCTGACTGGATAGAATAGCATTACACTGTGTCAAGAGTTCCTGTGACAACTACAAATTCATAAATA